GTCTCACAACATGTCATATGATTAACGTAAAACACTGTAAAATGCCTTCTGGGGAAAATAGTATTGTAGGTTTTTAACTGAATTTTCTAGTTTCTTTCTAGTAGTATATTTTATGGCTGTATATTAAACACCTGTAATAAGAATTTATAGTGGAAAGGTTGGCAGAATTCCATTTAATGAAGTCGAGTGCCTTAACTAGGATAGTAAGTACTTAGGAAAACAGTATTCTTCTCAAAAAAAATATTTAAAAATACCATATGCGTACAAGGAAGGCAACTTTTTTGTGTTTCTGCAACAGTTTCACTTGGTTCATTATATTCTCTACAAGTTAGATATAGAATTCTAGAATTTGTAGTTCTGGAGAGAACCTTAGATGTCATCTCTAAATGCAATCATTTTATAAATGATGAATTAGGGTAAGTGGTTTTCATAATTCCAAGTGGTTAATGGCAAAGTTGGGGGAAAATTCAAGAATCAGGGTTTCTAATTGAAACCCTCAATGATACCAGTATTCAAGATGTATTCAATGATGCCTCATTATTTTTTTTTAACAGCAGAATGAAGAATTGTAGATTCAAATTTCTTTTTGTTATTTGTTATTATTCATTTATAATAATGCAGTTGTGGCTACTTAGTATTCTAAATTGATCAGTTAATGTTTGAGAAATGCTATCAATAAATTTTAAGAACTTATGTTCATTTGCTGTGAGCATATTTAAAATCAATAGGCTTAAGAGAAATATTAGAGACTCTCCTATCTATTTACAAAAAAGAATCTTGAAAAATCTCAGAAACAATCTAATTTGATTGGTTAATTGTATTGCCTGATGACATATGAAAATAAATAATTTTGAGGCTGAAAACACTAATAATGGTGACTAATATAAACCATATAGATTTTTGATGGATATTTGCTGATTCTGCTTCATTTCATGTTTTACCAGGAAATAAAGTTGGTGTTCCCTTATTTGGGTGTTACCTGAACATATTAACATGTTACGTGTACTTAATACTTTTGAATGAATGATCAAGTGAAATGACTAAATCACTGGAAGAAATATAGCAAAATCTGATAGTGGAGAAATTTCTGAATTCAACAAAATCTATCTCAAGGATGTCAGTGAAATTTTCATTGGTGGATATATGTTTTTGACATTTTAATTTTGGTCATTTTTCTATTGATAATGAGACATTCTAGATGAAGCTCTTTAGTAGGTAGTTGGCAATGTTCATTTAAATGTTAGGATATCGAGCAGACAAGGGACAGAGAAGAACACTAAAGAAAAATTTTGGAAATGAGATGTCTATAAAGGGTGCTGAAAATCTTCGATATACTCTTGGGGATCTAGGATGCCTGTGTGCATGTCCAGGAAAGATGTGAGGAGACCCTAATATCTCACAGATGCCTGACCTTGAGGCTCTGCACAGCAAGAAATGAGGGCTAAAGCAGAGTAGTAAATTGTCAGAATATTGAGGGTATGCTCACACACAAATATACACACAAAGCCTCTCGGCAAACTGAGAGATACTTATTGGTTCAAGATATTTAAGGAAATCTCTGTTCCAACATTTGCTGACCACTAACCTAACTGAGCAGAGACCTCAACAGCCACAGGTGACAAAGAAGGCTGACTTACAGAATTACTTCAAGAAGGTCACTAAACAAACAAGCAAGCAGCAACAACAACAACTACAAACAAAAAGAACAACAGGCCTTGAGAGGAGAATCTGATTTCCAGAGTCAAAATTTAAAATGTTCAACTTTCAACAAAAAATTATGAGACAGGAAAAGAATCAGGAAATTATATCCTATACCAGGGAAAAACATTCTATAGGAACAATTCTTGAAGTACAGACATTGGACTTTCCAAAGACTTTAAATCAGCAATCATGAATATGTTAAAAAAAACTAAAGGAAAAGAAACCATGACCTAAGAACTAAATGAAAGTGTAAGAATGATGTCATCAAATAAAGAATAGAAATAAAGATAGAATTTATTAAAAAAAAAAGTAGAAGTTCTAGAGTTGAAAATCAATTGAGATTATTCAGTATGAAGAAAAGAAAGAAGAAACTTGAGACCTATGGGACACCATCAAGCATAACAACACGGGCATAATAGGAGTTCTGGAAAGAGTGGAAAGAAAGGGGTAGAAAGCATATTCAAAAAAATAGTTATCAAAAACTTCCTAAATTTGATGAAACATACTAATCTGCACATCTAAGAATCTCAACAAACTCCAAGTTGGATAAAATTGTAGAAATTCACACCCAATGTATTATAATCAAACATACAAAAGACAAAGAAAGAATCTTCAAAGCAGCAAGAGTAAAGTGACTCATGACATAAAAGAAATTCTCATTAAAATTAACAGCTGATGTCTCATCAGATACCAGGAAGGGCAGAAAACAGTGAGGTGTCATATTCAAAGTTCAAAAGAAAAAGACTATCAACCAAACATTCTATATCCAGCAAATCTAGTCTTCAAAAGGAGAAATTAAGACATTCATAGATAAACAAAAACAAATAATTTCTGATAAGCAGAGCTGCCTTACCAGAAATAATAAAAGGAGTCCTTTAGATTGAAATGAAAGGACACTAGACAGTAATTCAGATCCAATAACACTGGTAAAATTACCTACAGAAGTAAATGTAAAAGACAATATAAATATATATATATATTTGGTTGATAGCATTTCCTTCTCTTGCTGTTGTAAAATACAATTGCATAAAGCAAAATTTATAAAACTGTGTTGTTGGCTTATATTGTATAAAGATAAATTGTATAACAATAATATTACAAAGCAGGAGGGAGAGAATAGAGCTATATAGGAACAAACTTTTGTATAATACTGATATTATGTTGATATTAATCTGAAAAGTGTAGTTATAAATTAAGGTGATAATTGTAATCCCCAGAGTAATCACTAAAAAAAACCCCTCTAAAAATATAGTAACAGAAATAAGAGAATTAAAGTTGTTCACTGGTAAATATCTATTCAACACAAAAGAAGACAACGATAGAGAAATACTGTAACAGAAAGGCATAACACATATAGAAAACCAATAGCAAAACAACTACAAGGGGAGACAATTTCAAATCTCCAGTAACTGATGAATACATAAACAAAATGTTGTATGTCCATACAGTGGATTATTATTTCAAAAGAGGAATGAAGTATTGATACATGTTACAATGTGGGTGAATTTTGAAAACATGATAAACAAAAGACGCTTGTCACAAAAGGCCTCATGTTGTATGATTCCCTTTATACAAAATGTCCAGTGGTTACCAAGGGCCAGGGGAAGGGAGAGAGAGTGAGTGACTGTCAATGGTTATGATGTTTCTTTTTGGAGTGATGAAATTTTCTGAAGTTAGATAGTGGTGATGGTTGGACAAGTCTGTGAATGAACTAAAAAATGCTGAATTGTACACCTTGAAAGAATAAATTCTATATGTAAATTATATCTCAATAAAGCTGTTATTCTTTTGAAGGAGAAATGTAGGAATTGAAATATGGATTTATGATCCATAAGAATAAATGGTAATCTTAAGGGTGAGACTATAAAGTGCTTTTTAGACAGAAGAAAGAACAATGCAAATAAAAATAATTACTACACCATAGGTAGTAACCACAGTATTTAATAAAGGATTGCTTACTGGAATTAAATAATTTATACTCTTTTCTTGGCACCTTTCACAATACTTTCTTATACCTTTTCCAAGTTATGAATTTTATTCTCCATTTTATTACAGTTTTAAATCTTAACCACTAGATCACCTTCTCCAAAGAGGGGAGCTTACACCAAACTTATGTTTCCACCTCCACTGGTACTATGTTCAATACTTTGTGTATAATACTTTCTCAATCAACACTTGTTGATGAATAAATGAATATTGTAGTATAAAAGTACTGTGAATTCCTTCTTAGCACTCAATGTTAGACACATTTTAAATTTAATGTCTATATTTTCATCAGGCCCTAAATAACTCCTGTTAATAAGATGTAGAGAGAGCTGGAATAACTTAGAAATTATTCAAAATGGAATCAAGAGTTCTTCTGTGAATCAGACTCAGGTGCTCAAACTTACAGGGACTTGATTCACCAAGTCAAATGGATATTAACTCAGACATCCTTCTGGGCCTGCGTATCATACTGAATCAATATGGTCATGACTCATACATTTATATCAAACTAGTTTTGTGATGAATTAAACCCATGTGAAAATATTCAGATTGCTTCAAGAGGAGAATATTTTGATTTTTCTCTTGTTCACACAGTTTCCAGAATCTCTTGAAATTAAAACTCTTCAGATTACCCTATTATTATTTCTAATGTTTATTTTTTATTAAAATTATATAGATTTCTAAATAAGTGAGTTTTAATGTATGCTTAGATGCTCCATTTTTTTCTTAGTAAAAATATACCAAACTCATGCTTTTTAATTTATAATTGGGATTTTTCTGGTCTCTGCATTTCTCCTTCATCTTTGTAAGCAGAAATTTCTTTTGATATTGATTCCTCTAACAGAACACAATAGTTAGATCTATATTTCATTTAAAAATTCTCATATAAATTTGCCTACAATAATAATTCAGTTTAATTTAATTGAACATTAGAAATACATTGCTGTCTCCATATATTTATAGTTTTTAAATTTTAGTTACTCTTTTTATCAGCTTATTACTCACATTTCGTTTGTCTTATTCCATACAGAATAAACTGTGAATGCAGTAAAATCAAGTTTTAACAAATGGATGCATATAGTATAGATTCTCTGAACCACAAAATAACAGAATAACAGCTTGATATTAAGAGCTGATTTGTGAAACAGGTGTGGGTTTCTCAATCCTATAAGACTTTTTTTTAATATTGAAATGTAAGTGATTTTTCTTTTTCAGATGTTTAAAAATAAACTACACATTGTCGTGGATGAATCTTGCTCTAGATATATGTGTATTCAAATACGCTGACTACGTCCATGTTTGTTTCTTGGCAGGGGGACATCCAGCAGTTGTTGATCGTAGGTGACCCAAAAGCAGCATACGACTACTGTGAGCATTACAGTCCAGACTGTGATTCCTCGGTGCCCAAGGCCGCTCAGGCTCAGGAACCTCAGATCGAGGAGGTGAGGACTTTAAGATCAGGGCAGGTGTTCTTGTTTCAATGGTACAGACATAGTCTTGCAGTTTTACACTTATCTTTATTTATTCAATTTTAATGAAATTATACTTTGTGTTTAATAGTGTTTTAATATTTCGAGGAAGTGACTAGAAGAAGAGTTTGGGTGTTTGCTTTCCTCTTTTTAAATATTTTGTTACTTAAATTTCTTAAAAATAGAGATACCTCATTTGTATACTGTGTATATGAGCATATTTCATATTTGGAAAGGTGAGAAGAAGATAATTTCTAGAAGCTTTATTTCTGCCCCTAGCATTGAAATAATTAACACAGCCTCAAGATAAGCGTGACATAGCTTCTGGTGTACTTGCCATTTCCCCCAGCTTTTGACAATTCATGCAGGTGAGAAAATGACATTAGAGCTATCTAAAGTTTTCAGGCTGTGTTGAACATTTACAGGGAATTTTTTTCTACTTCTTATAGGTCTATTCTGCATTGATATATACATTTTCTTTTTCTTGTACAAAATGTGATATAAAAAGCAATGATATAAAAAGCAGTATGAATGGCTTACAGTAACTAAAACTATTCATATACTTTGATTAATATATTTTGTCACTTTATTTGAAATTCATGTGTGAAACCATTCTTCCATTTTTTTGCAAGAAAATTCACCACAGAGAAATTAGACTCTATTCTCTTTCAGACCAAAAATACGTACATCTAAGTTAGCATAGCCATAGCAATTTGTCAGATTTGAATACCTCAAAGAACAAAAAATATAGCACAGTGTACTCTTTATCCAGATTTTTAGGTAAAATCCTTTGATGTGGATTTTCTGGGAAATCAAAAAGCAAGCAAACTGGAAGGAATTTAGTTTTTAGTTGGCAGCAAAACTACATTTTTAGATTTATTTCCTCAAGCTGAAGAGTGTTAAATTTGAGAAGGCAGGGTGGAAGTTTGCAAACATCAAGACCGTCCTTATGTTTGAAAATCAATCAAATTCTTCTTACCTTCTAAATATACTATTAGGTGCTGCCCTTTGAGTTTTACTATTTAGAACAGGTTAGGGTCTTATTTTTTAAATTTTAATTTATTGTTATTTCTGCATGTGAATTCAATTTGAATTTTACCATTTAAATGTTTGAAATATATTTTTTGACATTACTTTTCTTTTTAAGGTATGATACTGAATTCTGTTGCACTGATCTTTTCCATGACTTAATATTAATGTTTTTTTTAAAACAGGGTTTTTTTTAAAACAGGTTTAGCACTTTAATATCTTATAAATTATGTGATGATTCAATATTAAAATTTATAACATTTTGTATACATGTTCAAGATTGATGAGATTTGTTTTGCTCCTGTTTTAAGAAAGATGAGTCTTGTTCTTTTTAGCAACAGATATGGCTCTGATTTTTGGAAAAATGAAGGTATGCTTTCTTAAAATATCACCTTGAGGTGTTTTATTGCCTTTTAATGCTATTATGTCAGGTAAGCTGAGTTACTTTAAAGCAAAATAATAATTTTTATCTATTTTTATCTTAAGTTTATTTAAAAGTAAACTTGCCCTTTTATACTTGAGTTGTTGATATATATATTTAACATTTGGTTGAAAAGTCAAACTTGTTTTTGCTAGAAGCATTTGATGAGGAAAACAACATACTACTATAATAAAAACTGCGTGGAAATCTGGTTGGGTGATGCAATAAGAGATAACATTTCTTACTAGTTTCTGTGTTGAATGTGTCACAATGAAAAGTTTTTTTGAAGAATCAGCTCTCACTTTTTTTCCCAATTCTAAATTACATTGATCCTTCAGTAATGAGATAACCATTCTATACTAGTATGAGAAAAACTGATTAACCAAATTAGTAAACAGTTCTTAAGTTAATTTTGAACTATAGCCATTGATACGTTATTATATTACAAATATGTACTTTAATCATTGATCTACAGGTGTTCTACCTATACAAAATAGGAATGCAGAGTTATTTGCCAGTGAATTAAGAACATAAAATGCAATATAGAGCATCAACCCTACATGTTGTACTTTATATTGCTTAATTTTCCATTAATAAATTTGTGACATTGCATGTTTTTTATTCTAATTTGGATTAATAAATATGTCAATTTCTTCTGTAAATTAACTTGTGTGCTCTTGCTCTCTCCAACTTGTAATTTTGTCTAGTTCATATCCTATAAATAATATATTCTAATTCATTCTTAAGATTCAATTTTTTATGTGTTTGGCACAACATTGCATCATCCTCATAGAGTGAAACACGTATTGTGGATAGATTTAAATATAGTAATGATATCATCAAACTTTAATTCTACTTGAACCTACACAATACCACTTATATAAAAGAGTGACAAATATTAAAATTATGATGGTTTGAGGATTTTCTCATCAAGTTAAATTATTCTCCTATTTTAAAAGAAATTAGATGTTAAATCTCTATATAGTTCTTTTTTAATATATTATGCAGACTATAATGCTTTATATATGGTAGGCAATTGACATTCTTTTTTATAAGGAATGAAAAAGGAAAATGAAGCAAAAGAAAGACAACATTTTATAAGGAAATTTAGAAAACAATTGACTTCCTCAAATTTATTACTTTAATCTTCTTTGCACTTAATATCTATCATATATTCTGGTTCTAGTAGATGCACAGATATTTAGTGATGCCACTATTTTTCTAACAAATAAGAACAGATTTTATGACAATTCTAGAATTACATACTATATAATTCTAGAAAAAGACTCTGTGTCCTCACATACCATACTATATATATGGATGTAGCTAGCATGATCAAATACCCATATTCAAATATATACATATATGTACATACATATATACGCGCGCACACACACACACACACACACACACACACACACTGTGAGTAGCCTCACATAGCTGGGCTACTCACAGATGAAAGCTGAAATCATTTTATTACTGCACATCTTGTTGCATATATTCACCTGATTGATTACAACCAGTTCTTTCTTCTTTACCTGCCCTTAAGTCACCTAAAATTCCATAGTAAGAAGGGAGAATCATCTCCAAAACTAGGTTGTAAAGCTTTGTATAGACCAGCAAAGCCTGAAGTCTACTCAGTACCACCAAAAGGAGGGTGTTGTTTAGATAAAGACATAAGGAGAAGGGAAGCAGTGATTCTTTTCACGGCTCTAAGAAAAAGATGTGCTTTAATGCCTAAGGTGAGCATGCTATTTCCTCCATTATGCCACAACCACAGCCAGTCTGGTTGGTCTCTATTTGGAAAGAGTTTAGAGGAGATTATGGTGGTTAGAAGAGAAGAAAAAAGATTACAAGAAAAAAACATGATATAAAGTTAATAAAGTTAATTAGCTACTTTGAGATATGTGTCTTCATTTAAGACATATTTAAATATTCCATTTTTAAAATCAGCCCTTTATGTCTTTATTTATTGGCATATGTTTTTACAATTCATTATAGATGCACATGATTCTGAAAAATCTGCTTAATTTTAAAACTCTAAAGCATAGAATAGACTGGCAAATTTTTTTTTATGTTTTACTTCAAGCTGGCAGCTAGTAATTATATAAATCTAATATTTCTTATTCCAACATGGGTGACCGTATCTACAGAAAAATTATTCATTAGACAGTATTCAGTCTCCATTAATGTCTTTTTAATACATATCTAAATTCAGTATTTAATTGTTTTATTTACTTAATGATGTTATTAATAATGCTTACATTAACTTTCCTAGAAATTGTTCGCATTGCATCTTGCTTACAGAGGCATGAAGAAACAAAAATTTTCAAAGTGTTATATACATGCATTTTTCTATTATACTAAATTCTACACAAATCCTAATTAAAATAAAGTTTTGTTGAAGGGTTTCAAATGCATATTCATGCATAATGAAGCTATTACTGGATAGATAAAACTATGAATCTGTTTCAACTAATTTAATCAAATTGGAGTTTTGACCATCATAAAGAACACTAAAGGCATATCTAGGTTTATATTTCAATGTGAGCTTCAGCTAAACCATCAAGAAAAGTTCACTTTAGCGAGGGTATTTCATTAAGGGCCAGTGGTACAGTATTGCCAGGGGATCAGTTTTGGACATGTCTCATTATATGTTTTTGAGAAATTTGCACTCATTTGCATTGCTGTAGCTAATATAGCTTATTAGAAGGCACAGTGATCACAATTCTCTAAAAGACATGTGGTCAACAGTTATTTTTCTGGTAGATTAACAGGGATTTTCTGGCAATAAATATCGAGAGATCTGGTTGGGATGTGATTGGAATTTTACTGAACGTAATACTTAGGGAATTCCAGATGGGTTGCCTTTAGCATTTACATATATAAATATAACATGTACATCTTAGAGTTTTAGCTTGTTGAGTTTTCTGCTTAATATTTTATGCTATATATGACCTTTGTGTATTTACAGTTATTTTGATTAAAACCAATGATTAATATATGTTTCACAATATCTATATTCTTGTTTAAAAATTAAAATTTTGATAGAAATATTTGGCTTTGAAGATGAACACATTATTTTCCTCATCATTCAATAGGTATGACTAACTTGCATGTCTCTCTATTAAGAAACATACTTCTGTCCAAGTAAATTCTTTTAATACAGAAAAATCTAGTATAAAATACTATTTTCCAGTATGAGTTCAGTTTAAGTAGTTTAAGATATCTAAGCAGTATGCTCTTTTTTGATAGAGAAAAAAAGCAGTATTTTTAAAAATTGAAATAATGTATTAATTATAAACAGATCTAATTTTGAATCGTTTAATGCCTTACAATTACTCTGTGCTTATTTTGATCTGAAGTAAGTCTATAGCAAATTGGAGATTTCTAAATAAATTTTAGATTTTATTTTTTCCTTGATTCCAGTATTCCGAATAGAATATAGACTCATTTCATGTTCCTTGCATTCCCTCCCCCCCCATCTCACAATAGAAATGAAAATTCTTTCATACTTGGGAAGACTGTTTTCCATATTTTTATTTTTTATTTTTGTTTTTTGCTGAGGAAGATTCGCCCTGAGCTAACATCTGTTGCCAATCTTCCTCTGTTTCTCGTATGTGGGTGGCCACCACAGCACGGCTGCTGACAAGTGGTATAGGTCCACACCCAGGATCCGAACCCAGGAACCCAGGCTGCTGAAGCAGAGCACGCGAGCTTAACCTCCATATTTTTATTTTTAAACACATAGTTTAATGAAAAGAAAGTACCCATTGAAATTACTGTAAAATTCTTATAGAGGAGGCTTGCATAGCAATTTTTACAAGTCAAAATTACATGAATATTTAATAACTATGTCCAAATACATAATTGCTATGTTCCAATTAATATTCAATTAAAGGTTGAATTAATATTCAAAACTTTTAGTTTCCTCACAATCTTAACCACTATTCTGCTCTTAGAAAACCTGCTTTGTCATGCCTATGTTATTATACTCCATATAAGACAGTATAATACTTCTTGTAATATAAAATAACATTTAAGTAACAGTATTTCCTTATCTCTTAACCTTTACTCTAAGTAAAAGTTAAGAAGATGATTCCCACTTTGTTGATAGTATTTTCTGCAACTAACAAAATTGCCTGATATTTTTTCCTTTGCAACATAGTATGCACCTGAGGATATAATGGAATATGACTATGAGTATGGGGAAGCAGACTATAAAGAGGCTGAAAGTCTAACAGAGACACCCACTGTAACTGAGGAGACAATAGCACAAACCGAGGTAATAACAAAGTAGCCCCTTTGTGTATGGTGTCCTGCTGTTTGTCATCCTGTGGTTCCTTATGTCCACTGCTCCTCAAACTTATCATAAACCTTTCATTCATCTGATTTCTGTGAACCAATAACTGTGATTTTTATTTGACAGTAGCTGTCCTGAGGAATGATGCTCATTTTGCTTTGCTTATCCTTCCTTTCATCCATGCTCTTTTTTTCCCTTTCCCCTTTATTTATGTTTTCCATTCCATCTTTCACCACATTTTACAGAAAAAGAAATCCACTTTCAAAAAGAAGACGAGGACAGTGGCCACTAACTCAAAGGAAAAGTCCAAAAAGTTTACACCCCCTAAATCTGAAAAATTTGCATCCAAGAAGAAGAAAACTTATCAAGCAGCAGCAAAAGCCAAACTAGGGGTAAAGGTAGCAAAGAAAAAGCAATCAAGATCTCTCCTAGATAAGCTGGAAGATCTCTGATGATGAGTCATTGTCCTAACCCAACTAGATAAATACTCATTTGGCTAATATGATAACCCAATTAAATCATGATTTCCATAGACCTGGAATTACGTTACATTTTTACTAATTGCTTTCTTTTGAATTTATCGTTAGGCAAATATTGTTGATGATTTTCAAGACTACAACTATGGAACAGTGGAAAGTTACCAGACAGAAGCTCCCAGGCGTGTATCTGGACCAAATGAGGTAATAGTCATAGACAGTATTAAACCACCGTCCAACACTTTAAAATGTGGAATATATCTTGATAAACCTCACTCTGGAAGAATCTATAATCTCTGGGAAGTTTGATGTTTTTGTTCTTTTACTGAGGTAAGAGAAACAATAACAGTGGTTCACTACTACTAAAAACAATTCATTTGAAATCAGTGTCAATTCAGGTTTTGCATGACTCTTCGCTTCATGCAGATGCTAAATTGATCAAACTGAATTGGCTGCTATCGTTTTCTTGATTGCTCCTGGGACTGAGCAAACTTCTCAACATGTTGTGGCAAAGGGTATTCACAACATGATCCTCCTGTGTGGAGGAAAATCTTCTAAAGTGAAAATTGTATCATCAAATGATACAATTACAATTTATTTCATCTGACCTATAATTATGCATTTTTATGATAGCAAGCTTTCTGGTAAAATGTAGTCTTAGCGAGTTTTAATAGCTATTTACATTTTCAAACTTGTTAGGAGTGTGATGTTAATTATGCTTGAGATAATATATCTTAACCTTTCTATTCTTTTCTATGAAAGCGTTTAAGTGCATATAGGTACAAATCAAACAGTCTTCCTGAATTTCACATGATGCATACCTTCTGATCATAAAAACATGAATACGTAGTTCAGTTTAACTGTTAAATACCTGGCATATCTGGTATGAAGAATACCTGAGTAATCTAGTTATTAGAAAACGTATATAACGTGTCCAGTGAGGCAAATAAACTTGGTGGTGCAGTGCATGCAGACACATAATTTAGAATAATAACATTTTAGGGTGAGAACAGATTTTATGTTTCATCTAGTTCAAATTGATCATTTTCCAAAAATGGATATCTTGATTCAAGATGTTTATTTATCTACCTAAATTCATCCAGCTTTTTGGTTCAGAGCTATGAACACAGCAATATTCTGATTCTGAATAATATACGTTCCCTATAGATAGTATATCCTCTTTGTCTAAGAATCTAAAAACATTATGATTACTGGATATTTTATTTTAGTTAATTTTTAAATTAATCATTTAGCCACATTTTTCATTCACATGATTTTGTGTAATACTACTTATTTATTCAATATTACTCATTCATCTAGATTCACTGTCATAGAAAGCAAGCTACTTAGAAATGAAATTCACAAGGTAGCAAGATAAATTGTTTAATTTGAAGCTCATCAAAATCACAGTATGGCCAAAGAATTGCATAATAAATATGATTCAGATTTACACTATTAATAGGGAATACTTATGAGAGATAGAAAATTATGCTAGGTTTATTTTTCTATATCTCTGAGGAAGTATTATTGATATAACTTTTAAGTGCATATTTATTCTCTACTTTTTATGAGATTGTATGGTAATATATTCTATTTCATTGTTTTAAATTTTGAGGATTATAACTTAAATTTTATTTGCTTTCAAGAACTCTTTGGTGAAATAATACTTCCCTGTATACTAGATACTCTGTGTAAACATTTCAATGATAAATATTAATATTAGCATTAATATTTTATTTGGGGGCTTGAGAGTCAAACTTACGTGGCTTTTCTGGTAGCAACTGTATTTCATAATGATATTCTGTGAGATTTGAAAATTAAGCAAGGCTTTAACAATATGCATCTTTTATTATTTAAATCTTAAACTCTAAAGTCGGTATCAAATTGACTAACAAGTTTATTCAATGGAACAAGCAAATACACATGTTGACTCTGTGTGAATATTTGCAGTTTATTGGGAAAAGTGCTTTGAAAGCAATATTTCTTTGTGCATACCACTGTACAAAAATATTTCTTTCAATGATACTGAAAGGCTTTCTTTCCAGGCCTTCAGACTTGCTTGAGTAGCACTCAAATCTCTTCCCGTCACTTGCCATCAAACTGTAATTGCAAATGCTTACCTTGCTTTACTAACAGTAAACTTCATGTTCTCCAATTCCTTGCAACTTAAATTAATAGCCAAATCCAGTTGAAGAAGTATTTACTGAAGAATATCTAACTGGAGAGGATTATGATTCCCAGAGGAAAAATTCCGAGGATACACTATATGAAAATAAAGGAATAGACGGCAGGGATTCTGATCTTCTGGTAGATGGAGATTTAGGCGAATATGATTTTTATGAATATAAAGAATATGAAGATAAACCAACAAGCCCCACTAATGAAGAATTTGGTCCAGGTGTTCCAGCAGAAACTGATATCACAGAAACGAGCGTAAGTCAGTATTACGCTTTGTGTCACTCTATGTCTTATTTTGTGAAGTATTTTCATGTTCATCTTGATATCTTTTCAGGTTTAAAATACAGGTTGTGTTCTTATATAAATTATGAGTACTTATCACTCCTAGGACACCTTGATAGATTCTTCCTCATGGGAATCTTCAGCGGTTATATCTCCGGCCACACTATTGGAGTCTTCATTTGAAAGTATAATCTTGAATAAAATTATATCCAAATTTTCTTGTCATTGATAAGATTAAAATATAGTCATTATTATCCTGGGTAGTAAGTGTAGTTTCTGATTTTTAGACTACTTTATTAAATTTAATTTGATGACTTTTTGCTTAATGCCTTGGAATAATAATGGAAGTCTATAGGTGTCTTTATCTTTCCATAATAAGTCTTTGAGAAGCAATTATCCAATCTCGTTCAAGATTCTGTATTAATGTTCATTATGCTTTCCTTTTTGTATTTTCAATACTTAAACCTTTAATGAGTTTCTATTTTAAAAAACATATATTTTAATGGGTTGTTTTAAATGCACTTAGGTGATTTTTCATTAAAAAATATACTTAAGTGGCCTTATTTACTTAAAGACAGGCTGTTTGAATTTTTCACTCAACAGATAAATGGCCATGGTGCCTATGGAGAAAAAGGACAGAAAGGAGAACCAGCAGTGGTTGAACCTGTGAGTACTGGTGTGAATACATTATAAAGGCTGGTACAATTATTTAGTTTATATTATAAGCCATCAGCACCTTAAATTATTATGCATGTTCATGTATTACCATTGAAAATTCTTTTGTCCAAATGTTTATACTTTGCCGTAAATAAGTGAGTTAGTAAGGTCATTTCTGTCAAGTGGAATTTCAGTAAACCAAAAAAGATACAGGTATAGAATTTTGGAATTTGAAAGTAGCTGAAATTTGTCTAGTCTAATTCTCTCATTTTACAACTAAGAAACTTGAAGTTTTAAGTAACTGTCCTGAGGTTCAAATGTTTGGTGGTTGAGATATAACCAGACTTTATCTCTTCTAATTTCCAATCCAGTGATTTTTCCTTCAATTTCTATGACTTGACATTATTAGAAATGCATTTTTGACATACTTATTTGTCTCATATCCAAATAATATCATGTAATAATATGAAAATATGCTTTTTTAAAATTCACTTCCTTTTTGTCCACCACGTAAAAGCTCCAATTGATTCCAAAAGTGATTTTTAAAATTTACATTTATGTTATTACTACTCAAGATATTGTAAGAAGCAAATTCTTACTGGAAAGCAGTTTTACTTTTGTTCTTCCTAATCAGCAACTTAGAAAAACTATTGTATTAGAATTAAAGGTAGTATGTTTAACTATTTGCCTCAAGGTCATGAAGATCATTTCAGAAATTGCAAGGACATAAAAATTTAAAAAAAAGAAAGATGGGGGGAGGGTAAAGATTAAAAAGATAAGTCTATAAGGACACTGTTGACCATCTACTCCATTACCATAAAATCTGAGGAAGCGTGCCACGTGCTCATCAAAGGCTTTAAAAATATTTTTTCAGAATGAATTTGCCCTTGCTGTGAAAATTTACAACCAACTTTTTAAATGACAAAACAATTTTCAGCAGTACAAAGTGCAGTGGAATCATCAACATTTTAGAACTGAGTTCTTATCCTGAAATAGTACTCTTTTCTCTTGTCTATTTAAGACCTTATCTCCTATTTATCCCCAATTCTTTTGCCTGGACTTTTCTTCCCTTTCCCTGAATTAAACTGCCTACGTGCCACCTACTTCCATTCTTTCATTCATGCAGCAAATTTTTGTTAAGTTCTTGCTTTGTGCCAGGCATTATTCTGGGAGTTAGGGAAAACCTGGTCAAATGTCTTGTTTTGCTCTTCTTGGGAGCAATTAGCATATTCTCCTTGTAATATTACTTACCCGAACATTTATCTCCTTTCTAAGTAGTTCACGGATTCTCTGAGGACAGGGACTATGTCTTCTATCTTTGTATTTCCTCCCTTACCCATGCAAAAATGTTTGTAATTGGTTTTATGCAGTAGGAACAGAGAATTCACTTTTTAAAATCCAATGATGTGCTGCTTTCTTAGAGCCACTTAAATAAGAGGTTAGGGATGCATTTCCCTACTAATGATTCTCCACCTTTTTTTTCATATAGGGAATGCTTATTGAAGGACCACCAGGACCAGCAGGACCTGCGGTATGTAAATGTTTTAAAATAATTTCTGCCTTGATTTTTTATTATAATCAGATGTAAGATTTCTATTAAACTATTGAATTTATATATTTTAGACTAATTTGAGTATTGAATTATAGAGGCAAACATTTGTTTAAAGAACCTGGTGGCCTGGAATTGCTTTTTGATTTGGCTATCCAAATAATATTATTTTGGAACCATTGGAATTAAATTTTGTTTGAAATATTTTTTTTTTTTTTTTTGTGAGATCAGCCCTCTACTAACATCTGCTGATCCTCCTCTTTTTTTTGCTGAGGAAGACTGGCCCTGGGCTAACATCCGTGCCCATCCTCCTCTACTTTATATGGGACGCCGCCACAGCATGGCTTGCCAAGCAGTGCGTTGGTGCACGCCCGGGATCCGAACCTGCAAACCCCGGGCCACCGCAGCAGAGCGTGCGCACTTAACCGCTTGCGCCACCAGGCCGGCCCCTGTTTTAAATATTTTTGTCACTTGGATATCTCCACATTGTCTAACCGCATTTTCAACTTTCTACCTAAAAGATATGAAAGTAAGAAAAAGCCATTCTTATTTTTACTACAGAGGTATAGATATATCTGATGAATGAAGTTGAGAATTCTAAGTAAACTTGAGCTGCCTTATCTGTGCTTCCGAATGTAGTGATTACCTATCAGCTTCCATTGTTGTCTCCTAGTAAGGCTGATGTCACTCAGTGTGTCTTTATTTTCAGGTTGTTGCACTGATCTGATTTTGTTAGAAATCTTCTGTCTTTTGTGGAATTAATTAAATTCTTGTCATCTGAGATAAATATGTGATACTGATGCCATTAAATACTTTTACCCATAAAAGAAAATGTAAAAACGCCTCCAAGCTAAATAGTTTCTACACTTCAACTTTGCTATCACATTTTTGAGATCTAATTGCATGAGTATACCATTTCTTTAGTGAACTGGAACAAACTTCTACCTCAGGGACTTTACATTGGCATGGTCTCCTTTCCTGTTTTTCCTTGGAATGTCTACCCCCAACCTGAGAACAGCTTCATAGAGGAATAGTTGAGCTAGCTATAAAGTGATCCCTATATATTATCTTTTCATAGGAAGATAAATAAGGCAATTGTTTGGGAGACAAGTGTGTATTTATGAAATAAACATAAATGAGATCTTCCTTGATTTTAGTAGGATGAATTTGCCTGAATACTAATGAGGTTAGGACTCTGACTCAGATCATGGTTTATTTCTCTGCAGGGTCTTATGGGTCCTCCAGGTCTACAAGGCCCCACTGGACCCCCTGGTGACCCTGGCGATAGGGTAAGTGAAGGGACACCTCATAGCAAAAGAATGTAACATAGATTAAAGGAATTAAAATATATTCTACAAGTTTATGTTATTCTTCTCACTGGGGGGAAGTCTATGAATTCAACATTGTGCAACATTTTGGTTAACTTTTCCAGCTATAATTTTAAAAGTGAGGGTAAAGAATGTGCATTTATCTATGTTATAATTAGTAAAAAAAAATTGTATTTTCAATCAATTCCCATGTGATATGGAACTTATTACATTAGATTCAGCTCTTCAATTTGAATTCCAGACATATTTTTTGCAGGAAATCCCATGGGTATTTAGTTGGATCCTAATAGAATGATTTAATAAGGCTGAATTTTAATTTGAAGATCAAGTCCTAGGTCACATGGTAAAATAGACAATTTGTGTTAAATCTCTCCCAACTCTTCTTCTGAAATCCCTTTTCTATTTTTCTCCATCCTTGAGTAGCCAATAACTATATGCATTATTAAAATCATGTAAAACTATTGCAATAAAACATAACCCTTTCTAGGTGTACTTATTAAAAGGAGATTAACCAAGGAAAAGAAGACAAATGCAAATTAGATAATATAGATTTGTGTTATTAAAAGTTGTCCTATTTCTAATAATAAATTTGATTCTTTTATTTATTTATTAATTGTGATGATTTCATTTACTTTCCTAGGGTCCCCCAGGACGTCCTGGCTTACCAGGGGCTGATGGTCTGCCTGGTCCTCCTGGTACCATGTTAATGTTACCAGTATGTTTTGTTTGTTCGTTTGTTTGTTTATAAAGATGACTTTATGTTGAACTATATTACAGAGCAATCAACTAAAAACTATTGCATGGGGTAGAGATATTTGAAATCAAATATCCTGGAGATTATGGAAAATTTTACTAAACAAAATTCTGATAAATATCAATCTCTGCGTTAGAACTAAGATCTCATTATTTGATTACACTTTTAGCAACAAAGCTTAGAGGTTTTCTTAATATTTCTAATCATGTGCTTTTTCCTGAGTCATATGATTAATGTGCATTTCATGTGTTAATTTAACATAATATCAATTTACTGTTTACCACCATACAATCTATTGTTGATACTTTTTAAAGAAGATATATCTATAGAGTTATTATTCATTGCTGAAAACTTATTTGCTTTACCATACAATTCCTTTTTAAAACTAGTTGTCTTAGTTCTCTGGTAAAAAAAAAAAAAAATTGATTTGTCCCTTTAAGTGTAATAAACAAAGTTTCAAGTAATAATTACATGAGTGAGAAATTGATTCATGCTATATTTTGAGTTAAAATTTAAATGGAGATTTAGAATTTTATAGAGGGATATTAGGGAAGGTCAGTTTTCTAGTATAACTACTTAAAAACAGGTAAGCAAAACGAATATATCTCCAAGATATTTTCTCTGTATTCACAGAGATTCCAAAAGTTTTGCTCAGCAAAATAGCAATTGATCTACAACCACTGCTGCACTCAGTACACTTGGAATTTTTACAACTGAATGAATAGAATGGGTAACATTTGTGCAGATAAAAAATGCATGATGGTTTATTCAGGAGTTTTCAGAGATTATGGAGTTTAAAATTGGAAAGGAGTCCTAGTCTCTTCTACAAATGGTAAAACGTGGTCTAGAGAACTTCTAGAACCCATAATGGGCAGAAGGAGAATTAAAAAAAAAATCTAGGTACCATGGTTTGTGATAGAATTACCATGGACTTTTGTAAAATCCCATCATTTTAAGTAAGTGGTTTTTATCTAGTAATTAAAGCACCTATTTGACAAAGGCTAATTTTAAGTTTCTTTATGTTAAATCTCTTCTTAGTTTCGTTACGGTGGCGACGGTTCCAAAGGACCAACCGTCTCTGCTCAGGAAGCTCAGGCTCAGGCCATTCTTCAGCAGGCTCGGGTAAGAAAGGATAAACATATATTCTCATAATCTGATTCTATGTCAAATGATGTGTGTGTGTGGGTGTGTGGGTGTGTGTGTGTGTATGCGTATGGAAGATGGTACTATTATGAAAAAATACTTCTGAGTAGTATATTGAATTTAGATGGAAAAAATATTAAGGTTATATCTATTTTTCCAGTAGGAATATTTTCTTTAACTGAATATTGCAGTTAAATAGCTGATCCTTGCAGGATTGCCATGTATAATTCTAGCAATAACACACAAATCATAACAAATTTTCGATGATTTTTTTGAAAAGTATTGATGAGTTTATACCTAGCGCTCTCTATCTTGCACATCCAGTTTTCCCTACGAAGGCATAAGTCCATGATGAATGAATACAAATAAGAGAATAAAGTCAAAATAAAATTTTTCCTCCTAATCTTCTAGATTATTTAGGATATCCAGAGTAATCCAGAAAATTAAGGCATTCTTGTATAGGAAAGAAAACTTCAAATATGTATTCTAAGCTCTAATCATTATAATCTATAATATTTTTACCAAATCCATTCAGTTTATAATCCTTTGTCAACTGAAAGCTTCCAGTGTTTGTATACTTATAAAGCATATATTTATTTTTTAAATTAGCTTCATTGCAATTAAAATATACACAAGGAAGTTTTTAAAAATGGACCAGGAAAGAGTTGAGAGTCATATACTACTTTTATTCATAGTATAGATTTTTTTGTTCTTTTTTTTTTTTTTTTTAAGGAGAAAGGAAATTAAGGGCTTATGGTTGGTATGGCTATGGTTACCCCTTTCTAAGCAATATAAATCGTTTCTGCAGTAATGTTTTATTTATCATCATGAATTTATGAGTGTATAAAATATCTGAAAACATAAATTAATTTTGTAATTTAATGTCAATAGTATTTGTTTTTATATTTCCTGAGACTATTCATCTGAAAAGATGCCATTATTTGGTTATATCATGTATAAAGATAATGAAATATTTAAATATTTGTTTATTAGACTTGAGCATAAGTATAAAATATTTAAAATAATTTACTATTGATTCCTACAATTTATCTTATACATTATATTATTTTTAACAAATTCCTCATTTTACTAGTCCACTTAACTTACTTGGAAATAGGTAGCAAGCATTATAATTCCAATTTTTCAGATATTTAATCTCAAGGATTAAGAAGTGTATTGTCAAAAATCTCATGGTGAGTCAGTAGTGAAACTTTGGAGATCCTATTGTTTTCATCTCATGCACTTTTCTAATATGATTTTACACATTATTTCTATTACAGTATTATTTTTGATATCTGTTTTTATAATCTACATATTCATCTTTTGGAATCACTAATATTCAAAAATGGCACACCACACTAATTTAACATCTGTCAGATATTTATCCTTTGTACTCTACTTGTTCCAGCTTTTCAAGTATGCTAATTTCACATTTCTAATATCCAATGTAACAATAGTGCATGTAATCAGTCTATCATGCCTATGATTATACAAAATAAATGTATTTTTCTATAGAGCATTAAATTTGAGATTTGTTAAAAGAAGTATAATATCATAACACTTGCTGATCAATTTTGCTTTTTGCTTTCTGGCGTTAATTTTCATAGTTTTTCCTAAAATATTGCTAGAAAATTTTTATTTACAATGCCTCAAATTGTTCACTTCTAAAAGTATTTTCAATGAGAATTGCACCTACATATTTAAGAGAGTCTATACATTATTCTGAAGTACACTTCAAAGTAGAAAATTTTCAGGTATTAGATTTCTTATTCTAAAATCTATTTTAACTTTTATCATTGAATAAATTATCATAATATATGGTACAAGATTATATATGAGTTACAACAATTTAAAAAATGTGTGATACTTTTTTAGGTCATTTGTCATTCTAGAACTTACAATTCTTCAGTAATAGGGCACCCTTTCTAGCATGTAACTATTATACTTGTGCTGATCATCTGTTACTTAAGAGTGGCTTGCACAAATGAATGTTATGGAATATTGTTGTTTAATATGCTCATCTAGAAGAGCATTCCTGAGTTTGATATATTTTATTTTCTAGATTGCTCTGAGAGGCCCACCTGGCCCAATGGGTCTAACTGGAAGACCGGGTCCTGTGGTAGGTAATCCATTGACAGAATATATGTTTAAATTTTCATGTTAGTAGTTCCCTGTGCAACTTCAGCCAGGCATTGTTCATATCTCCGGCTGGTGAAAATAGGCTACAAATACCTACTTATGCTTGATTTTGTTTCCATTAAAAAAATCTATTTCAACTCAGTCCTTGGTAAATTTTGATTGAAAATGTTTCAATGAAAAGTTCTCAAATCCAATAAATACAGTGAAAAATGTAATTGCATCATATATCCAACTATTAATTTCTCAAACTATAAATATAATTTTTTTATAATAGAGTTGCTAAAATTCAATTTTATATTAAATTCTTGAGATTTAATTTTCTGTTAAACAAAATTTTTATTAAAAAAGAAAAAATATTTAATGTCAGTGAAAATTATTCCATGATCTTAGATCAAGCAGGATACTTGGCTTAAACTTCAGATTGCCTTCAGTATTCCATGAAGTGCTTCAGATAGTAGAGAAATTATTTTGTTTTTTAGAGACTTGGAAAATAACAGTGTTTTTTATTTTTCCTTACAAGCTTGCTAAGAAGCTAATGTATTCCAACAGCTTTAAAAAATATCTTCAAATGTTTTGAAACTTAACAAATATAAAGTAGTATAGTGATTCACAAAATATACAAAGATTCTTTTCAAATTATACATTTTTCTAAAGAAAAGAAAACACTTTAGGATTCCAATCTGGGTTCTCCTTGATTTTAGAAATAAAATAATAATAATAATAATAGAAATAATTTCTATTTTGTGTTTGTTTTTAAATATAAAAAGCAATTTATATTGTGCTTTAATAGGGTTTTTAATGCTTTCATTATGCTTTATTGAAATAATGGTATTTATAGAAATTGTTATGTTGAACCTTAAAATCTTATCTTTGATTTACTTAGTAGACACTCATAACAAAACTGTTTCATTCAAATTTAGATCAAGTAAATAGTCTTCTAATTATTTAATCTGTTTCACTGATCTTATTAGGATGATAAATAGTTTTCTTCATGTATGTTATTCAGGAGTTTGTTGTCTAATTTTCCATAAATTTATCGATCTCTTAATTCGATCTTGAAATTTCATAACATATTATATATTTTGAAGGTCTATACACTCAACCATATGAGCTCTTGTGGAACTTATGTTCTGGTAATATGTTCCACAGAATTTAAATTATATTCGTTTCTAACCACATTGAGTTTTTATCATGTAGTTTTACTGTCTGCCTTTCAAATATCGCAAGGAATGTGGAAGATTCTGTCACTTAATAAAGGAAGAAATAGAGTTAGTATTAATTGCTTGTTAGTAATAACTCAAATTTATATGACTGAGGAAATTCAGCAGTATGTTAAGGTTTTACAAATTTGGGAGCAGAAGAATTACCTGTATATTTTATTAAAAATAAAAGTTGCTGCGGCTCTGAACTTGAGACTCTGATGATGCAGTTTCAGGATCGGGAACTAGCAAACTATATTTTTAATGGATGTACCAGGCTGATTTTTATGGTCAAGCATGTTTGGGAAACACTGCCATATACTACTTAATTTAAAAATATCAGTGTAGGACCTCTAAAACTATATTTTCCAAAGGAATTTTCCTACTTATCATTCTGACAAACACAAGCCTAGGGGAACTGTAGAGGGTAAGGGCAATGATCAGCAGAAGCAATGAAAGCATGTTACATTAGCAGCTCCTATTTTCACCAATCCTTAAAGATCAGTCACTCACAGTGTGGGGGCAAAGAGAAAACATTGACAACCGTGTACACATTCTCAGTGTCATGTCCAAGATTAATTAATTTTACTACTTAAGTTTTTGTTATGGAAAGTTTTAGCTTCTTGAAATATTAAAGGTAGGTATTGAGAGAAAAAAAGCATATTGTTTCTCTCTACCACTTTATCTTCTATTATCCTTTGCTCCAAAACATAAAATTATTACAGACTTCCAAATATCTGTTCATTCTAGAGTCTAAAAGTATTTTATACATTAAGATATAAAAAAGAAACAAAGTGTACATCAATATTTTAAGACATAAATATGTATGTTCTTCCAATGAAAAATTCCTTTATTCAATTATTTTTTCCAATTGCTTTCATAGACAAAAGAAGGTCTATATTACAAAATATGCAGGAAAGGGAGAAAACGGTTTTTTTTTCCTATTCTGTTACTGTCAATTATTGCATGACAATTTTTAGAATAAGTGTTTGGGCAAAGTAATTATAATGTGTTGAGTAGGTAGTGGTTATATACAGAGGATATAATACAGTAAATTAATTAAAAATAAATTGACTGTCCTATAATTGCATTCAATTTAGTGCCTAATAATTTGATTTAATATAGAACCCCAGTTTTTCTCTTGAGGAAGTTTAGTTGCAAGAATTCTTAATTAGAGGCTTGACAGTCATCATTCTTGTAATTTTAAAGATTAGAATATTCACGTGACTTGACTTGTCATATTTCTTGGGAGTCATATTAATAGCTATTTTACTTCGGAGCCACCAGGAGGCTCTAGATAGCTAACATTTTCAGAAAGCATAATTTTAATCTTTTTGTATTTTGATTCAATGCACTATTTGAATATGTATTCATGTAAATAAATCAGAAACTTCTTAAACACACAGAGTATACTTCTTCAGCATGAAGGAACTATTATCACTGTGTTTAATTTTAATGTTCTAAAGCTTTTCAGAGGATGAACAGCCCAGTATTTATTTTTAAAATTCACAAGACTTTTATAAAGTGATTTGATATTTTTCCTACTTAAGGTGCCAGGTTTTTGTTGCACTTTTTGGATTACGTAAATATTTGTGAGAGGCATTTGTCCTAAGGACTTAATGTCATGGGAAAAAGACCAATCTGGGAAAAAGTGCTTTGACATTATTTCAGGACAATTATAATGATAGTAATAGCATCTGTTCTTGATATTTTATTGCCATAGAATTCAGTGTCTGAGAAATTTCTGAGTATAAAAGCAATACCACTTTTCCAAGTCCTTGCTGTATAAATGGATTCAGTGTATACCCGATTCAGTAAAAATGCGTTGTGTGTAGCACTGCACCACAGCATAATGATAAGTAATGCTTTGTGTATCATCATAAGTGCTCCGATGGTACAAACATTAAAGAAAATTTCAATGTGATTTCATGAAATTGGCTTCTGTGTAGTTATGCATAAAATATAGACTTTTAAATATAGCTCACACACGGGAATATGAAGTCTGAGGAGAGATGTATTCCAATCAAAGGACTTGAAAATTTTATTGTATTAATTAATAAAATCAAAGTAATTTGCTGAAATATATTTTGAATAATGTTTAACTATTTCAAGTGAAAATGACTAAATTAAATGATACTATCCTCACTTTTTCTCTACAGGGGGGGCCTGGTTCATCTGGAGCCAAAGGTGAGAGTGGTGACCCAGGTCCTCAGGTAAAAAAAAAATCTATTTTACTTATTTTATTTTTGACTATATTTTATCTAGTAGGATAATTGAAATATCTGCCATCTGTTTTATGAATAAAGAAATTACTTACATTACCTTTAAGCTCACATCACCTCCTCTAATTGAAAAATCCCTAGTGGTCAGTTGATTGCCAATAACTTGATTAATTTAAACAATATTTAAAAAGATAATAACCTAGGATTGGAAAAATCTTGATAGTAATAGGCCTTTAGAATATTAAATTGGCTTGAGATTGTGCAGAGCAGAGAAGAACTCTGCAATTTTTATATAATAATTTTTATATATACAAATTTTATATAGTAATACATTGCAATTTTACTTATAGTATCCCTGCCTCAAGCCCACGATGTTTCTGTGGAGAGTAAATCTAGCATATTCTCTCAGAAAGCATATTTAATGGATATTTAAAAGAAGCTAACTTCAAACTTCTTGTAGAGCTAAGGAAATTAAGAGAAATTGAGAGTATCTGAGCTGAAAATTTAAAAAAGATTTTTCCATTATATTTACATGGTGTCAAATTAAAAGTATTATTTTTTCTTAAATAGGGATTAGATAGAGACATTCAATACAAGCACATTACAAAATACACTTATTCTAGAAAACAGAAAAAATGTGATATATTTTTTAAATGCATTCATTTTTAGATGAAAATGCTTCTTGATATACTCAATAAATATAAATTCAGATTGGGCTGCGGGAGCTATTAATTTTTCTTCTTCTCTTTAAATTAATTTTATTTTTAAAATATTGCAAAGTAAAATTGAATTTTAACACCTGTATATTTTCTTTATAACCACTACCACAATCATCAGAATAGAGAACAGTTCTATAACCCCAAACAATTTCTTGGTGCTACCACTGTACAGTCACATCCTCTCCTAACCCTTAATACCTGACAACCACTGATCTGTTCTTCCTCACTGCAGATTTATCTTTTCAAGAACACCATATAAATGAAATCACGCCTTATGCAACTTTTTGAGACTGGCTTCTTTCATTCAGCATAATGCCTTTGAGATTCATCACAGTTGATGTGTGTGCATCAGTAGTGATTTCCTTTTGTAGCTGAGTAATTCCCTTGTGTGGATGCACCACAGTTTATTTTGAAATGAGAAAAAAATCCAAAGAAAATTGAGAAAGGTATTTGGATGATTTAGAAAGTGGTGGCCTGCTTTTTCATGCTTGCTTAATATTGCTGTAAAGGGGTGGCAAGCTTTTACGGCTTAACTGGGAATTGCATAAAAATATTGAAATGACACTACATGAAAATCTAAGGAGCTTAATACTTTGCAAAGTTTATGAACTTTTGGATCAAACTCACCTCTTTATAAAATAGATGAATCTGAAAACATGCTGCGGTAGTTTTCATGGATTTTGCAGTTTTCCTTCACTCCTTAAGTCCAAAGAGCTACAGTATCAAATGAAGAATCGTTTTCACTAAAAACGAAGAAGTTTTGTCTTGTTATTATTGCCCCTTACCTTCCAGCTAGGGTACAGGGTAGAGTCCTCTCACTACAATAATTTCTTTAAAAAGCTATTCTTTTAATCTCTAATTATTAGACAAGCTTAATTTCATATTTCTATAATCATTTTACAGTGATTATAAAAATTATGTGTAATTTCAAATGTGTGTTATATTTTCTGCCACACTCATTCTATGCATACCTAGTATGAATTAACTAAAAAGGGTATAGTTAATTATATACAAAAGCTTGTATAATATTTATACTGAAACTACATTTGATCTATTATTAGTTTTATAATTTTATTTTTAAAAAACGTGTATCAATTACCACATAAGACATTATATATAGACATAACATTATATAGTACTGCTTAAAGAGAGACACATATTGAAAATATCTAACCTTTAATCTGACATGGCATGGTACTAGTCAATAATTTGCATTAGGGATTGTCAAGTCATCCTCTGGCATTTTGTAGATGATTGAAAGAAACATGTATCAGGCACTGTGCTATGTTGTAGGAGTATAATGGAGAACAAGACAGATTTAAAGACAAATCCGTAGCAGTTAACAATTTAAGAGGAGATTCAACTATGAAAAAAGGCAATTATAATTCAGTGTGATAAGTGCAATAAAAGAAATCAATATGTAGGAGAGGATCTCCAAAAAATGAAGGGAAATGTGAAGGACAAGAGATTGGAAATAGCAGAGGAATGAGGTGGATGGTTAAGAGTGTTTTCAGTCAAAGGAAATGTAAAACCACAAGGTTTTTAAAATAAAATGAATAATTGAGGATTTTTTTAAAGTTTAAAATATCACTTTGTGTTTCGTTTGTTTAAATGTGATCACATCTATATAAACTTAATAAAATAATGACTCTTTTTTTGCAAGAAGCCATTATAGAAAAATTGATTCTTCTGTCTACTATTTAGATTTTTACGTAAGAAAAATTTTCTTGTGTTAAAATGATTAAGATAAATTAAGAGAATATAAATTTCTAAAACCATCTCTCTCAATGTGATTGAGTTTATTGATCACGAATTCTATAAAATGAATTAATTATGCTATTTTGATATAGGGCCCTCGTGGTGTCCAAGGTCCGCCTGGTCCAACGGGAAAACCTGGAAAAAGGGTATGGTTGGTTTTCATTGCATATTTTGAGGGCATCTGAAATCATCAGTTATCTTTTACTCTGTACCAGTAGGAACCCCTTTTGCTTAGTCGTATTCTTGGCATTACCAGGGTCGTCCAGGTGCTGATGGAGGAAGAGGAATGCCGGGAGAACCTGGGGCGAAGGTCAGCAGCTCATATATTTGTATATTCAGATCTTGTATGTCAGTTCACCCTTGAAAATTTTATATTATAAAATAACGTTTCTTGATATGAAAGAATATTTCACATTCAAATTACAGTACAGAACTAGGCTGGGAATGTGATGATGATGATGATGATGATGATTATGATGATGATGATGATTTTACAGGGGGATCGAGGATTTGATGGACTTCCAGGTCTACCAGGTGACAAAGGTCACAGGGTAAGATATACCATTCTATTACTTTTTATACAGGAATGTCGTGAAATTTTAGAAGTGATGTACTTTAGGAAATCAGAAGAAAAAAATTAATTTAAATATTTGTGACTCCATTTAGTAAATTATTACATCTACTAGACACTTGAAGAAAGATAAGTAGAATTACACATGTGATATCAATATAAGTTCTTTGTTTTCAGACATTGAAATACTTAATGCAAACATAATTTGAGGCTGAATTAGTTACATGTATGTGGAAAATATCATATTTATAGAAGAACAAGTGTGGAGACGTAATTTTGCCTCTAATTTTTTGATAATTGCTTCAATTTTCCTCTTACATTTTGTATGTGGAAATATACTCAAAACAAGACATCTGTAGGCAGTCTGACACTAATATAAAGATATACTGGCCACTGTAATTTATTATACTAAATTAGATGGTTCTGGTAAATAGAGACACCACTATTCCTTTGTGATAATATGAGCTTGCAATCCAATGCAAGAGCTTGTAATTTGCTAAGGCTAAATGCTGAACGGCAATCCAATAGATATTTTTAGTGCGAAATTAAGTCAAGTCTCTCAAAAAAAGATCAGCTGTGGATCTTCTCATTTTTCTTCTCCAGAAGTGAAGAATGAAGGTAGGACAACCTTTAGGTATACTGGAGAATATATTTAAAAAAAGAGAGAATCCTAGGGATGTCTAGTAAGATATTTAGTGTGGGCCTATGACATGTCAAGAGAAACATATAATTTTGTTTTTAAAAAAATCCAAAATTCTTTTAGTCTTCTAGAGTTGTGCTGATTTAATATGAATTATTTTAGAAGCAGAAAAAATTTAAATTAAATTAAAATTACCAAAGTGTATCCATGTTTAAAACCATCTTCAGCAAAATAATTTTCTAAATGGGTTAGCTTGTAATAATTAAATGTCTGAAAGTTATTTTAGGTATTTTATTTAAATCTTTTTCTTTTTAAAATTCAGGGAACATTTTTCCTAGCATACAATATGTAAAGCCGGTTAATGTGAAATTATGATTTATCTCTGAAATGTTCTGTGGAGGACACATAAAGCATTAGTTTTCTCTGCCAAATGTTCTGTTTATTCAATAGGATAGCTGTAGGATAGACTTCTAAATATTCCACTTTATTTCATATTCTAATTATATTTGTGTTTATTTAATAGGGGGAACGAGGTCCCCAGGGTCCTCCCGGTCCTCCTGGTGAAGATGGAATGAGGGTATATTAAACTTCATTTCTTTTAAGAAATGTTTAAAATTACAACATGAGAGAATAAAATCATGTTGAAATGATACATTGTCTAAATTGCATTACCCTCCCACTTATTTTGTCAATGACAGGGAGAAGATGGAGAAATTGGACCAAGGGGTCTTCCAGGTGAAGCTGTAAGCAGCTTTCTTGCTTTTTAAATAATACCCTATTTTGGAGGAATTGTAATTGGTGTGACACAAATAAAGTCAATAATAAAGTCAGGTGACTATTGCAGTTTTACCAAACTAATCAGGCAATTGTTATGTGAAAACAAATTTTTTTTTTTTTTCGTGAGGAGGACCAGCCCTGAGCTAACATCCAATGCCAATCCTCCTCTTTTTTGCCGAGGAAGACCGGCCCTGAGCCAACATCCATGCCCATCTTCCTCCACTCTATATGGGACGCCGCCACAGCATGGCCTACCCTGGAATCCGAACCGGCGAACCCCGGGCCGCCGCAGCGGAATGCGCGCACTTAACCACCTGCGCCACCGGGCCGGCCCCGAAAAAAATTTTTAAAAAGATACATAGAGCTCTTCTTTTGTTGTAGAGAAAGTTGTAGACAATTGAGGGGAAAAACCGTAGAATATAACGTGTTGTCAGCTGAAAAAACTTACCTAGTTTTTGTTGCTGTTTCTTTGTTTTGTTTCAATTTTTTACATCATCAATAGTGTCAGAATCTATTTATGTATTTAGGATAAATGAATCTTATTACCAGAAGAAACAAAAAAATGAGGAGCTTAGTAAGTACAATTTATAAGGATAAAATGTGCTAGATTATGTCGTTTTTTTCCCACTGAATATTACAAAATGAGGAAACTGAATTGGGAAGGTTTAGGCAAAGCTAGTTAATCAAAGAACTAGGCTAGAAGCAAGCCGCATTATAGAACCTGTCAACTCAAAGGCGTAATAGCTCAAGTGAATATGAGAGACGGTAAATTATTGTATTGACTTTTCTAAAGAGGGAAAAGAAGGAGGAACAGATGGACGAGAGGGAAGATGAAAAGAAATCGATTAAGGTTAAATAAGAATTTTAAAAGTTCTTTAAAGAAAATGATTTCTACAATCTGCAGATATAGTTATTCAGCTCTTTGTTTCTTTCCCTCAGTAGAATATTCTCTCAATATGGAATTTACCTAAATGTAAAATAAATGAGAATCAGGACTTTTCTATTCGTATAGTCTATCTGATTGAATAATAAGATTTAATAAGATTCACTGTTGCCATTCAAATCAGAAAATGACACAAAAGTGACTTACTTAAAGTGTTAAAATATTTTCTATTTTTAAAATTTCCCGAGATTCATATGTAAATTTATAGAATCAAAGAAGCACAGTTTCTGTACTAAAGACTCACTTATCCATTTTGGCTTCTGGATCAGTATAAACACGAGGTATTTGTGTTATATAAAAATAGTGTTTTACACATCACTTTTGGTGTGTTAAGGGAAGATGTACAAATATTTTTATTCTAAACATTATATTAAAATTTCTTTAAAGGAAGAAGTGTGTTTTGAAGGCATTTCTTTTGAGAATGTGCTTTTTTTTCCTCTTAGGGTCCACGAGGCTTGCTGGGACCAAGGGGGACTCCAGGACCTACAGGGCAGCCTGTATGTATTGCTGGAAACTCAGGATGTTCTAGGGAAAGCTTGTTGCCAGACTCTTTAAAGCCTGGAGGCTGTGAAAGCTTTTAGTGGACAGCCAAGTGTTCACTGCCTTGTTGTGTTCTAAGACCTAATGATGCTGCCTCTCAGTTTAACTGATCATTCCACACTCCACCTCCTTTCTCTCTTCCTTTTAGTTTATCCATATTATTGTTTCATCTCAAATTCCCAACATACGGGAAAATGCTGCTAGGTTATCTTCAATGTGGACGTGGATAGGAGAGTATAGAACATGCCTTTTTCGTCATTTCCATTAAATCCTAAAATGATTTTCAGTCACCCTAGGCTAGTGGTTGTCATGCTCTTAGGTTAGTCTTTTTGATTTTCTGTTGTAGCCTCTAAACTTATAAATATCCATATATATTTTTTTCTTCATTGAAGGGTATTGCCGGTGTAGATGGCCCCCCAGGTCCAAAAGGGAACATGGTATGTAGAAAATACCCATAAAATTACTCACTTCTGCAAATTGGGTACTAACAAAATACTCTTGTTGCTAAATCTAAGATAAAGATTTCTTACAACATTTTGCTAAGTACATTGGCTTCTGCTAGCGTTAATATTTTGCAAGATTTTCCAGATTATCTATAGGGAAAATTGATTTGGGGACTATTTTTCAATTGAGAAGAAAAAAACCTATTATGTGAAACAGCTCTATTAAAGACTCTTTATATTTTCCTATGGCAGGGTCCCCAGGGGGAGCCTGGACCTCCAGGGCAGCAAGGGAATCCAGGACCTCAGGTAAGTCTAAGCCATCACAGCTCCTTTGAGATAATGGGGTAAGATGGTATCTTTTTTACTAGAAAATTGACAGCCTCAAATTTTTCTATGTAGGGCTAAGAATGTTTACAATGTGAATTCAGGGAGATAATTCTTTTTTCCCTTTCTTTTTCTTTTTAATTTGAGCAAATCTGCAGAGGCCCCTTTCTTCCAAGAGAAAAATGAGTCATTCAGTGTTCATGGAATGCCAGAACTAATGGCCACACCTGCAGGAGGGTTCTGAATAGGGTCAAATTACAATCCCATTGCCAAAAGAGTAGCTTGTGTAAAACTCCTCATAGTGTTCCAAAACTTCATGGAGAATGTGGGGGATATATATAGAGTCTCATAACTCATTTCATGTGAAATAGAGGGCTAATAATTTACCATTTTAAAAATGTATTCTTGTGATGTGATTCCTGATGTATGAAATTTATTCTTTTAAAATAGGGTCTTCCCGGTCCACAAGGTCCAATTGGTCCTCCTGGTGAAAAAGTAAGTTACTTTGTTGTTCTAGTAATGTCTGGTAACAAGTTTGGGTTTTCAACCTTAAGCAGGCCTGCCTTCTGTTTTTGATAAGATATCTAGATGGCTCAGCACATAAGGAATTAATCTGGAATTAAACCATGAGAGTACAATGTGAGAAGTCATTTATACATCTCTGAACTGTAAATGACAAAAATTTCACAGAAAGTTTCCATTTGGATAGCTTCCAAATGTGACATTCTCAGCTATATTAATTTCAGAAACATACTGATATGAGTGAGTTTTCTCTTTATTTTGGTTCTCCTTTTATTTCTCATTATTTAAAAAATGTAATTAGGTTTGCTTGTGACAAAGGGTTTCTAGCAAGATCTGATTAAGGGAAAATTGTGAAGTTATCATTACCACCATTTCTCATGTATAAATGGCAAATGATGTTCTTGCTAATAACTCAATGTCTGGATCAAAACAAGAATAAGTCTTTAATTGAAGAGATGTCTTTTTCCCTGATCTCCTCTGTGAGATTCCCTGAGTAATATTTCCTGTCCTCTGTAGTTACAGCACAATGTTAGCTGATTCTTTCTAATACCTTTTTTCTTATTTTTGCTGATTTCTCTGAACATAAGATTTTTTTAAAAATTAACAGCTTTATTGGGATGTAATTTCATACCATAAATATTCACTCATTTCAAGTGTACAAGTCAATGTTTTTTGGTAAATTTACAGAGTTGTGCCACAATCAAATTTTTAGAATATTTATACCACCCCAGAATGAAACTTTGTATCAATTTGCACTCCCCATTCCTCCCACAGACCTAGACAACTGCTAATCTGCTCTCTCTCTCTAAAGATTTGCCTTTTCTGAACATTTCATACAAATGTAATATATAAGTGAATTTAATATATGAATTTAATCATATGAAATGAATATAATATGTGAAGTTCATGTCTGGCTTCTTTCATTTGGCTTAACGTTTTTGAAGTTTATCCATGTTGTAGCATATATCAGTACTTTACTCCTTTTTATTGCCAAATAGTGTTCCATTGATTGAATACCCCACATTTTGTTTACGTATTCAGCAGTTGAGGGATATATGAGTTATTTACATTTTTTAGCTATTAAGAATACTGCTGCTCTGAATATTTGCATATAAGTATTTGTGTAGACATGTTTTCAATTTTTTTTGGTAGATACTTAGAAGTGGAATTGCTGGGTTATATGACAAATCTATATTGAACATTTTAAGAAGTTTCCAAACTGTTTTCCACAGTATTTATACCATATTTCCTTCCTATCAGTAATATATGAGGATTCTAGTTTCTTCATATCCTTACTAAACTTGTTATTGTTTCTCTTGTTGATTATGGTCATTCTTGATGGTGTGAAATGGTATCTCATTGTGGTATTAATTTGCATTTCCCTAATCACTAGTGATGTTGAGCATCTTTTCACGGACTTATTGGCCATTTCTATATCTTCTTTGGTAAAATATATATTCAAAACCTTTGGTAATATTCTAATTAAGTTATTTATCTTATTATTAAGGTGTAAGAGTTAACCTATCAAACTTAAGTGGTCCTTAAAGTACTTTTTCTCTGTGCCTCTTTTCTATATGATGACAGTATTAGAGTGCTGTTGGAAAATGGCTTATGAATTTGAGATGTTAGGTCCCAAAGGGATTTTAAATCTTTACTTTAGGTCAGAGATTTAATCTGTGCCACTCATCATATTTTAGATTAGCTCATCATAACCATATTATTTGTAATAAATTGCACTTGAGGCATGCACCTATGAAACTTTCTACCACGATTTTATCAACTATGCGCTGGATTCCTAAGAGGAATTTGCTCTTAAGGAAAATTAGTGTATTTGAATTCTGTTTGTGGAGCCAAAGGTAAAATATAAGATCTGGTTGACTGCACTTGTGGTAAGAAGAGAGACGTCCTAAACACAAGCTGCTTCTTTCTCTGCTCTGAACATACCAGCTTGTGGGTTCAAAGATAGTGTCTTTCCATCAAAAGGAGAAAGGAACTCAAGAACATGAAGGAAACATGTTTTATTTATTTGGCATCTATGGTATATCTTTTATTTTCTATCTATATTAGTTTTATTTTCTTTATGATATATTGTGATCTGTTTATTCTGGTTCAAGAGCCTTGTATCTCAATAGTTGGTGAATAGTGTTTTCACTTGGATTATAGTATAATCTAACAATTAATATAATTTAAGTAATGACATATTTTTAATTTCTAATAACTTTTATATCTTTGTCTTGTTATTATATTTGTTATATATTATATAGTTAATATATTTGTGATAAAACATTTTGTAAAGTTTAAGTTAATTAACTGAAATGCATCACAACTATATTGGTTTTACTGATAACAAATATACTGAATACTTCCTGTGGTTTAATTCATGATGTCAGAATTTACATCACATACATTAATTGCTTTACAGAAAACAAATGGCATTGTATAACACTATGAGCTAAGTATGAAATAGAAAGACACAAAATAAACATTAATTAAAGGCAAGGACTTTGAAAACATAGATATGGTTCTGGGTTCATTCATATTGCAACTCTGTCACATTTACCCAAACTCTTAGATAATGATATTTCATGGAATTGTTTGAGACTCAAAATGTTAAAATGAATTATGTATATATATATTTATATTTATGTAAATTGATTAATTTAGTGCATAGAAACACAATATATTTTAACTGTTTTATTAAAATCTAAAAAGGTGACATTCATTCATTGAACTTTAGTCTCATTCCTCCAGGGAAAGCAGTTAAGAAAGCAGACTAAATGTTCATGGAGCTTCCATTCTAAGAGAGATGGATTGATTTTAACTTGATTAAAAAATCATCTTATCATAAAAGAGTTTTACTATTTCTAATCTACCCTTAAATATATAGCAACAACAAAAAACCCATGTAATATTGCCCACAAAGTCATTGTCACAGAAATATCACATCTACTGATAATAATAATCAATGGAATAGTTCTGCATTAGTACTCTCCATTTTGTTTTTAAGAAATAAGACCATTGTCTTGATAGCAAAAGATAATTTAAGTGACAGGCAAAATATTGCCGTTAAAAACTTAGTGTTTTGTAATAGTTATTGCATAATGTTAGATTACTTGACTGAATATGACTTTGCAGAGTGTTCAAGGGGATTGAAATTTTTAAATTCTTTAAATGATATGAAGTTAACCTCAGTTATAAAATCTAAATTGTTCAAGTCAAAAGTTGTCTTTATTTTTTGTTGTTGTTCCATAGTGATTTAAGTGAGGCTTTCTTGTAAAACTCTGTACTATCAGTCTACGTGAATACAGTGCTTTTCCTAAATACTCTCTGAGAATAGAAGAACCTAACTTATGTCCACAGTCTAGGATTGCTGCTATATCCTTGCCCTTTCAGTTGTTTCTAAATCCTGGCTAATAATTTGACCAGTAAGCAGTAATAGCTTGGGCTCTGGGGCTTGATAAAGTTGGTTATTCTCAGCAGAACGCCTATTTTTCTCCCAAAAAAGGATCTACTTTTGCAATAGTCATCCTTACCACATTCCAACCTTAGCAATGGTCAAGTTAAATGAGATTTGAAACCTTCTGTGGTAAACAGGGATTAGAGTAATCTGTTGAGGAAATAGTTATTTTGTTAATATTTGTTAGTTTCAGATTAGATGATGTCCTTTTTACATCAAAATATTAAATTTGGGGCTGGCCCCAAGGCCTAGTGGTTGGTTTGGTGGCCCAGGCTCATGAGTTTGGATCCCAGGCTTGGACCTACACCAGATGTCAGCCATGCTGTGGTGGCAACCCACATACAAAATAGAGGAAGACTGGCAACAGAGGTTAGCTCAGGGCAAATCTTCCTCACCAAAAACAAAACAAAACAAAACAAACAAAAATATTAAATTTACTTTTCTTCATATCCTATGAATAACTGTCACACTATAACTTGTGTTTCTTAAAATATTTTAATACCTACTGATGTTTCATCAATGTTACTATGTAATTATTTGAATTGGCACTTAATATCATTGATGGAATATCCAATGTTACCTCTTCAATGATATAAATCAATGTATTTCTGACCTATATTGCTTTCCTTTTTATTCTCTAAGCTCTAGTTTATTGTGGTATGCAAAAACTAATTTGTTAATTAGAAAAGACACATTTAGGACTACTTAGCAGCCCAGAAACTAGCATGTGTTTAAGATATGTTAAATTTGATTTTCATTTATCCCTATATACCATTTCTTCTACATGTTAAAAAGTATTTAAATGTTCGTTGCTTATAGATAAATGCCAGTGACCCAAGTTAAGAATTTTATTAGTAGTATATTCCTGTGTCCAATGTCAGACTTTTCATTATTTTCATTTTTTTAAACTAAAATATTCTCTTTCTCTGTTTGATTAGGGACCACAAGGAAAACCAGGGCTGGCAGGACTTCCTGGTGCTGATGGGCCTCCTGTGAGTAATAGTTACCTGGTCATTAATATTTCTGTATATCATCTTCAAAAATAGATCTTACATGTGTTTTAGAAGTGATTTTATGAATTCAGTAATAAAAGCAAATGTAGCCAGTAATTAAACATTGATCTCTCTAAAATACCATTTCATCATGTCACATCCATATTGCAAAAATTTTAACAAGCTTGCAGTGGTCTTTGGATAAACTCATTCTGGTGCTCTAAGCCGGAATCTCATATTTTCCTACCACTCACTTTTCTCTCAGCATGCTCTAAACTTTTCCATTGCTATACCTTTCTTTGTGTTCTTTTATTTTCATGGGAAGCACTTTTCCATCCTCTCTTCCTTTTCAAAATACATGTTTCTTGAGAGTCCAGGTGAAATTCCTCACCATTTGTAAATTTCCTCAGCTATCTTCCATAAAAATTCCTCAGCCCTCAGGGATTTCCTCCTGAAATATAACAATGTTTATTATATCCTATCACATAGTAATAAATAATGTAATTATTGTTCTAGTTGTTATTTTTAAATTTTGTTATTTATACTTTTTTTTTCTCTTCAAATTACTTACTCAGAGCTAGGATTCAAAATTTTTTTATCCTGCCTCTACTTGTTTTTATTGAGTACAGTTACAATGGGGCTGTACATTTTTATTTACTGACTCTCAGTAACTTTATTATTAACCCTATTAGTATTTATGATCTTGCTATATTTTCAGATATCCCATCCACATGGCTCAGTTGCCTTTTGAAGATGCGTATATGATTATTTGACCAATATGCAAAATAGAAGTCAGATTGAAATACCTTTATGTAAGACTCTAACTGAAACTGGGTTGAATTGTTGATGAATAATAATATATATTGTTTTATGTGCTTTTCCCAAGCTCTCTCAAATACATTATGTAGTTGATGGAACTTACATCCATCCGATATAAGCTTGTTATATTTTCTTCCAAATGCCACAGTTTCCAATGTTTTTTAAAGCCATATACAGTGATGCAAAATGTTCAATAGGTTTTGAAACATAAGGAGTAAGACCTCAATAGTGAAAAAAAGGGAACAATTTCATAGTGTTATAAACTACCGTTAATGTCGCATCTTACCAGTATATGTTTTTGCTAAACACAGGGGCATCCTGGAAAAGAAGGCCAGTCTGGAGAAAAGGGTGCTCTGGTATGTTATAAAGTATCTGTTTAAATGTGCTGTCACCTTATCTCCAAGAGAAAAATGCTTTACTTTGATCATCTCTATGATATATATATTCTTCTATGATCACTTAGAGATATGAATATTAGAAAATAATTATCAGAAAGTAGTTTATCTCTACCTGTAAATATGTCTTTACTTTCTAAAGAATTTTTGCTATCATTTAAATATAAATTATGTACCTATAGTTATCTTTTGTGTAGGGTATGGTAAATAAATGTCTTAGATAATTTTTAATTTTGGATTAGCAATTTTATCAATTACACTCCATTCTCTGTTTTTTTTAAAAAATATTCTCATGATCAGAATTAAATCCACATTCTGCATATGTAGTATTTGTGGAATAAATGACCATAAATGATAATAATGAAATTGGACAAGAATTACTGAATATCATTAAGCTGTTTATGTTACTCCAATTTTATGTTCAATTATTACTTTCAGGTAACCTTTAAATAAGAGGAGATTGAATTATAAGAGCAACGATTATCAAAATATCTAAATAAAATATCAAAATAAAAGCTTATTCAATGTTAATACTATTTTGGATTACAGTGCAGAGTAGGATCATTTTGGTTTAGAGCTGCTAGTTTGGGATTCTTGTTAAAATAGTCAGCATTACTACAGAAATTATATGTTTGACATATTGTTTCCTTTAGGTAGACTAGTGAAATGAAGTCAGCTGTGGAAAATACATAATTTTGATCGTATTCTTCATGATGTGAATGCTGCAAATTTATACTTGTTTTCTGTTACAAATGATTAATCTTATTGGTTAATCTATAAGGGTCTATTATAGACATTGAGGACATCAGATTTTTTTCAGGTTTAGAAAATTAGTTGTTAACCATATAATTATTTACATTATTTCACATACTTATAATATTTATCTTTTTTTTTTTTTTTTTTGGTGAGGAAGATTAGCCCTGAGCTAACATCTGTTGCCAGTCCTCCTCCTTTTTGCTGAGGAAGATTGGCCCTGGGCTAACATCCATGCCCATCATCCTCTACTTTATATGTGGGATGCCTGCCACAACATGGCTTGATAAGTGGTATGTAGGTCCGCGCCCAGAGTCTGAACTTCTGAACCCCGGCCTGCGAAAACAGAGTGCATGAACTTCACCACTATGCCACCAGCCTGGCTCCTATTTATCTTATTCTTAACATGAATATATCATATAATCAGTTTGGAGTAGGGTAAGGCTAGTCACATAGTTTGTTCATCATTTCAGACATTCGAAACAAATGGTAAACTACCCAAGAAATCTTTACCTATAGTAGAAAAATGCTATATTCTTGTAGATTATTAGGTAAAATTATAGTGTATGAATGAGTAGTACTTTCGGTGTAATGTATATTTAAATTGTAATGGGTCTTTTTCAGGGTCCTCCTGGTCCACAAGGTCCTATTGGCTACCCTGGTCCCAGAGGAGTAAAGGTAAGTGTTATTTTTTTTCCCACATTATTTAATCCAATGTAAAATATTATAGTCATTTAATTCTTTTAATTTATTCCATAGGGAGCAGATGGTGTCAGAGGTCTCAAGGGCTCTAAAGGTGAAAAGGTAAAACATAATTTATTTGAGTGATTTTAGTTGCTGTATATCAATTATGTAAGAAATTAAAATTTATTCAACAGACATTTTGTTTCCCAAAAATATTGAATGATTACTTACATACCAAACAATGCAAGTTTAATTTTGTACTCTGTATCTTGGAAACTTTTTTGAAAAAATTTTTATATCCTGAGTTGAGGACTAAATTATAGAACAGAAGCCAAGTTATGTCATAGACAAAATTAGTCTTGCATCTTTTATTTTCTTACATGTATTTAACTTTTGTAAATTGTCGAGTTGGTGTTATGAAGGGATTTGCTACAGGGGTCATACAATATACTGTTATATGCATAAAAGAGGTACGTTTATTCCTTTTTTTTTACTAAAATCCCCTCAATTCATAAACTGAAATGCAGTGCAAAATATGAAAGTTAGAAGTACCTTAAGTCTATTGGGGGAAGAGAAAGTCTTCACATATGATGCTGCATGCAAAGCAAGAGCGTTAATGAGAAGTAAATAAAGATTAAAACCAGGCAGAAGGGGATGAAAGAATGTGGAATCTTTTACAGAACATTTATATTTGTCTTTGGATAAAAAACATGAAAGTGAGGGGATTTTTTTCATGTAAATGTTTAATGTAAGTGTAGAACCCCCAAATCCTTCAACGATTAAGTTGAAATGGAATGGCATTACACAGAATTGGTATTGGATTACTTCTTACTACTATATTGCATTTTAAAAAATAGGATTTGTTATAAAATGTTGGTAGATTTGGTGAAAAAATGTGGAATATAAATGTTGATTTCAAGGACAACTGTTTATTCCCATAGTGATAATGTTATCAAAAGCACCTTAAGTGGATTTGATATCTGTAAGGAGTGGATAACAGGAATGGATGGACTTTTTATATCCATTATATTTTATTTTCCTGAAAAAATAAAAAGGTAACATACTGAGGCAATGTCAGGGTGTGCAACTCTATTTTCAGTTCTAGTGTGTTAAAAATGTCATGCATTTTACATTCACTTAGCTACTGTGATGAGAATCTCAATTCATCCTGATACTGGTCATCACAGAAGCACTTCAGGGTATAGTTATCTTACTGAGTTGACAACTGAGCACAGTGATGGATCAGACAGTGTTGAACTTGTACTTATTTGCAAGTTGCCTACGCAAAAAAAGAAAATTATTGTCTCAGTTTGGAATTTCTCTTGTGAAGACATTTAAATGTCAATTAAATTTTTTCTCTGGAATTAGTTCCCCCCCCCAAAGATTTTTAGGGAAGAAAGAAAGGTGTTTAATTGAGGTAGGGAACTTATAAATTTCTTGGGAAGAGGGGTAGAGACAAAAAGACAGAGGTAAATAAAATTATACATGATGAGATATATGTTAGGAGAAACCCACCCAGGAAAAAAATGAATGTATATTCCTTATATTGTAGGAAAACAATTTGAGATTACTGGTTGTTTTGAGTACTGTATGGTCTCAAAAGCAGCAAGTAGATATAGAAGGAAAGAATTAGCATTTTAAATTGGGAGTTAAAAAGCTCTGAGTTCTGATTCTAGTTCTCATACTCGCTAGATATGTAAACTGAGACAGTTTGTTTACTTTCCCTGAGCCTTATTTTAAATCTGTAAAATGAGAACAGTGTCCTAAAAATTTCAAAAGTTTTCTTCAGCTGTACCTCTTATTTCATCCTGTATACTAATCTAGTAGTATATTACTTATCTAGATTTAAATAAATGTAAATGTTAATGGAAACTTTTTTCAAATGATAAGAATTCTGCCTATTTTCAAACTCTGTGAAGAGTTATTAAATCCTAATGAATTTTGATATACATTATGCATTTTGTTTTTCTGAGTTTGTATTATAATCAACCATTTATCTCATTAAGAGATAAAGAAAGAAGTTGAAACTTTTTTCGTTTTGCTTATAACAACATTAATTGCTTACTAAAGGTGAAATAGCAAGTTAGTACCCTAACCCTAACTTGGACTAAAATTCCCCATTGTTTAGACTCAGATTTGTTTCTTAAACCTCAGGTAACATAGCCCAATAAGCCAAGTGACATAGGTGAATTCCTCTTTTACACATCTTCTAAAACTGTTTCCTTTTTATTATTTTTTTAAAGATTAATTCAGATCTGATAATTTTAGGATTGGAAAGCTTAGTAACTTCATTGTATTACTTGTTTAAAAAGTTATCACTTATTATAAGGACATATCTAATAATTTGAGTCATCTAATTTATTGATTTTATTGTGAGTGTATTGAAAACAAAGATGTGACAGAAATAGCATCTGGTCTACTATGTTCTCTCTTAAAAGAAAAAATATCTGCCTGGAAAAAACCTAAAAACTGTTACTGATTTTTTGACACAGAGTACAGTATTCTTTAAACTAAACTTGGCAACTGTGTAATTACCTTTCTCTCTAGGGAGAAGGTAATGAAGACAATAGTCGATAGGAAGTTAAGTGGTCATTTTCAGCTTTTAAGCCTCTGCTATTGCCCAGTTGCATTCAGTACAGAGAGAATCCTACTTCCACAAGGCTACGTTATGGCCAGAATATTGAAAACATCATGTTTGTCTTAAAGGAGACTTCTAGACGTGTCAGAATTCTTTGGTTTAGCCAAGATACAAGATTGGATCTCTTTTTCAGGCTGAAATCATATATGTTAATAATTACCTGGTATTTTCAGGACCTTAACATACCTTGCCAGACTCACACTAAGGCATGGATAATTTCCAAGTGCTCATTTAGTAAATGTTCATTGAATATCATGGTTATTGAGAGTCAAAAATATACTAGGCACTGGAGACCCAGAAGTTAATTCGGCATGATTCTGGTTTCCTACCATTTAGTAGAAAGAAAGAGACCTATGATATACTAAGTGCAGGATGGCAGGTTATTGCAGTAATAAATATTCATTGGATGCATGCAGGATGGAGAGGTTAATTTTAGGTGGGGAAAAGCTGAGGTCATGGAAAACTTCATAGCAGAATTATGGACTGAGTCTTGAAAGAAGAGTCAAGTATCACCAGGTGAATAGAGAAGGTAAAGGATTTGGAGGTGTGTGTGTGAGCTTGGAAGAATTACAAATGGAAATACAGGTAATTCAGTTTTTCTAGAACTGAATCCCAGGGTATTGGGTGAGGGTAGAGTGGAGATTCAAGACCACAGATATGACTGCAGAGGTGAAAAAAGGCAGAATCATGGCAGGAAGTGGAGAGGTGGTGGCAGCTTATATTCATCAGTAGCAATTTGGAACCACAGAGATATTTTAAAGTAAAAATAGATGTGATCAGTTTTGTGTTTTATAGAGGTTGTTTTGGCAACAGGATGTGGAAGTTTATGTGCCAATCTTTCTAGCTATGTTCTCACATTCGACCTGAAATGTCCTTTCCTCAAACTCTACAAGTCATATCCATCCTCTAACTCTACTAATTAAGGTACTGCCTCCCCCGTTAAACCTCCTCCAATTCACTTCTTGCCTCATCACCATCACCACCGGCACCAGCAGTACCATCATCATCACCACCATCACCACCACCACCACCATCATCCGCATCATCATCTTTGTTCTTCGAACACCCATTCCACTCTATGTGTACCAAAACTAACACAAATGTTCTACCTTCAGTTCTTATTGGCAAGATAAAAACCTCAAAATACTCCACAATACTCTGAACATAGTAATTGCTTAATTAATGCTATTGAATATATGAATGATTATCCTTAGATATTTAAATTTTTTTCTTGAAATTAAGAGATAGCAAGGTATTTCATGAAGCTTACTTCTTAGAAGTTTAGATTTCAGTAAGAATGGTAGGAAATATTTCCATGGTCAAAATTTCTCCTCTCTTTGCTAAAAGATGCCCAGTTTTCAGCAATACTGGTCTGTGCATATGGTGGAACAATGAGCAATCTCTATTTATATATAAAAGATAATATTAATTTGCTTATTCTTCATCTGAAAAGAGATTATAATGTAGAGAACAAGTTGAGCTAGAAAGTATTTATCTAAAGCACTTACTACAAAATGCATGATATAAAATTGTTAGGTATAAATTAGTAAATTGAATAAAGACATTTTGTTTGGTAGTCCAAAGTTCTTGTAATCCAAAATTAAAATGATAATTATTTAAATATTTACTTTTTTGGTTCAAATAGTGTAGAATACATGTTGTTATAAGAGAATGGTTATTTCACCCAAAAGATAGAGAAAACTTAATGGATGTATTTGTAAAAAATTTCCTAGAGTAACTTATAGGCAATACTTATAGAAAAATATGAAGATACTGGGGATAAAGGATTAGAATAGGAAAGAGGAGATTTCACAACTAGAAGTCACATTTCTCAGAACAATTTTCCCTAATTATCAGTATTGATATTTTATATAGCCATATTTTAGATTCATCCGAACAACTGATTTATTACTTGTATTTTTTAGGGTGAAGATGGTTTTCCAGGATTCAAAGGTGACATGGGTCTTAAAGGTGATAGAGTAAGTGAAAAGAAAATTTGCACTAGTACATACAATTATATGAGTGTATGTATGTGTGGGTGTTCTTATATTTAAATATAGCAAGCACAAGATAAATAAAAATGTTTGTACTACCTGAGATTTTGCTCACTTTGGTTTTTATGTGAAGATTAGACATTTTAATTCTTGTGGAGATAATATAGTATCAATTGTCTTTTTGATGTTATATTAAATTTCCATATGTCCCCTAACATGTACCTGTGTATGTGTGTGTGTATATAAATATATAAATTGAGTGCTGTTGTTTATAGATATTTTCAAAAATGATGATCAAATTGCTTAAAAGAAGTAATTTGATAGGTTTGTTCTAAATTTTGTCCATATATATAGTGAGCTGTGCTGCCTGGAAACTACGTTTCTGCAGCTTTCATGAATTTTTATTATATTGTAGTCTTGAATTTTTGACTGTAAAAGTAATATACTTTTTTTCTGATAATGAGTGTCTAGAAAACAAACAAAAATGAGAGTCACCTAAAGTAAATTAAGTATTTTATTGGGAAGATTTATTTTATAAGTAGCATAATAGTACCCAATAAATCTAACAAAGAAGCATACTGTAGAACATTTTTGTTTCCCTAAAATGCACATAAAGTCTTTGTCCAGGATGAAGGCAATAACTTACATATTCTAGTACCTAATAGATGAAAACCAAGTCTAAAATAGAGACATTTTTCTTGTGTTCCAACCAGTGGTTTCCAAAGTTGCTATTGTCAGAGAGGAAAAATTCTTTTTTCTACTACCCTGCTGGGTTCTCAGGCTGGATCTCCATAAAGTTAGACTGACAAAAGGCAGAGTAACAAGAGAAAAGCAAACAAAAGTTTGCTAGATTGTGCATCACGTTTACACACGGAATCACTCTAGTGATGAGTAACTCAAAGGGGTAGTTAGAACTTGGTCTTATATAGCATTTTAGAAAAGGAACAATAAATTTTTATAGAAGTAACAAGACAAAGGAAAAGGACTTTGAGTTTCTAGGGCTGCAAATTGTGGGAAGGCAGATATATGGGAAACCAATGGTAGATAAAAAGGCTAGTTAGTAAAGTTTGTTGTGTAGATTCCTCTGGTGTCTGGCTCAGGACTGATAAGGGTCTAGTTGTCTCTAGTGATTAACTTTTGTTCTTTCTGGTAGAAAGGGGAAGAAGGACACCTTTGCAAATTTATGTGCTTGCTTTTAGGCAAGTAGGGGAGGGCAGAGAACTTTTCTTGTATCTGCTGCTTCTCAATTACCTTCAGCTCAAAATAATCTTTAAGCCAATGTGGCATATTTTGGAATGGCATATTCAGCCATCCTACACTATCTAATCTTAATTATTATTATTTTTCTCTTTCTCTCTGCAACACAGATGCATTAAAATTACTTTAATATGACACATGGTAGCATCGGGCTTCTGTAGGTTTTCAAATATCAGACTATATTCAGTTGTTTATTTATTAGTGGAAAGATTGATGAAGTCAAACACTTTCAAGTCTCTTTGTCGCAAACAAAACATGAATAAACAAACCAAGAGTGAAGGATATGATTTTTTGATAGACTATAATCTCTGCCGTTCAATCTCCAATATCTATCAAGTTACAAGAATGCTGTTACTCTGTGTTTCAGGGAGAAGTTGGTCAAGTAGGTCCAAGAGGAGAGGATGGCCCTGAAGGCCCCAAAGGTCGAGCAGGTCCAACTGGAGACCCTGGTCCTTCTGGTCAAGCAGGAGAGAAGGTCAGAGAACAACTTGAAATTCACAGGTCCTCTTGCAGATGATGCTTCAGGGTCATTTTAAAATATTTTTAATCATCCATGTCAGAAATCGAGAGGATTCTATTAAATTTCAAGCATAACCATATACTACTTAGAAGTATCATGAGTTGAGTATATTTATCCCTTTTCCTCTTCCTTATTTTCTAGACCCCTTTTGGCCATGTAGGATCAGCCACTGTTAAAGAGCCCTTAAAGCTCTTCCACACTGAGAATCTGAGTGTGATTAACAAAGGATGCAAGATGGTCTACTTACTGTTTTGGAACAAGTAGAATCATCATTGCCCCTCAAACCAAAATGTGTATTTCCATGTTTTCCACATAAACGTGTATTTTCACAGGGCAAGTGTTTTTAAAAATACTGATATTCAGGCCCAAATTCAAGAGATTTTAATTTTAATCTGGAGTCAACCCAGGCATCACTGTTTTAAAACATCCCCAGATAATTGTAATGTTCATTGGTTTAAGAGCCGCTGGGCTATATGTAGTATGTAAAAATATTTGTAACCATGACATTTACATTTAGATGTCATATTAGGTAATATTAAAATTATGCCTTCATAGAGTATTTAGTGATATGGTAAATATCTTATAATGTGCAAGGAAGTTAAATTAAGAAGAAACTAGAAATGTCTATGACAAGCATTATCCCATTATGTACACTAAAGGAAAATATAAATAATTATCTCTTGGTGGTATACTTCAGTTGATTTCCTTTCTTTTTATATGTATGTCTATTCTCCAAATTTTCTATACTGAGCATGCCTTTATTCTATGAAATATGGAAATTCCATGCTATTTAAGAAAACTGTAATCCCCCTCTTACCATTCTTTCCCAGAAGGAAAATATCTTATACAAGGATTATACAGGGATTGTGACTAGACAAATAAACCCTTTCCTCATGTCGTTAGGAATCATCGGATGCAGCAGTTCTTCCACCGTTGCACACTCTTAGTTGCTGTTTGTGAACTGATGAGTAATGTCATTGTGTCTAGGCAGCGGAAGGAAAAGATGGGGGAAGACAAGGACTTACGAGGCCCTACAACCCTTCCACTTAAAGCGCTCACTTGGCAATAGTTTAAGGCTATTCTGGAATCTTCCTCTCATCTCAGCTCCACCCTATACTGTGTAAATTGTCCCACGAACTATTCTGAGGCATTAGGAATTTGATCCACAATTCTTCATCTTTAACGTTTCATTAATATTTTCCCCTTTGTTGAAGTTGCCTATCACCATACTGAAAATACAAACAAATTTTCTGTCTGGATTTCTTTTAAAATGACTCTAAAATGAATAAGAGTATATAGTCTAATGTGGTAATTAACATAGAACACAAAAGCTCTGTGATCATAATTAGAGAATATCATTAACCTTGAAATCAGTGGCATAAAACAAGCTGTGATAACTTAATGTATCCAAGGGGACATCATTATAAGTCTACTTCTTAGGGCTTGTTTGCGTATCTTCCATCTTAAGACTGCTTACCTATGTGGTGTTGATCTTGAATCAGACAGCTCTTTAGTTCAGTCTATAATAACAAGGTCATAAACTATATTCCTAATTTCTTGCCTTGCTTTATCCAGTAAAATATTATTTTTATTTATAAAATACTGTTCATTTTTTAACATTGGATATAGTAATTTGGACTTTTTGTTTTTATTCTTCTTTTGTTTAAATGTACATGGGAAATAAGGATACTATGTGCTTGCTAATGTTTAAGACTTTGATAAATAATATTTTATATATGAAGTGTGCTTTCCTAAGATCTTAAGGAAAATGAGTCATGGTAAAATTCCACATATTTTATTTAATTCATTAATTTAATTTAATTTTCTCTCTACCATATTTTTAAATTAATGCTTTGTTCACAGAGGCCAATTTTGTTAGTATAGCATTTTAAAACTCTTAGCATTTGTTACACATCTTTGGACTTCGCTGTAATTTACCATTTGTTTTAGTATTTTCAGATTGAGAAGTAATTTCACCACACTGGAACGAAATAGTTGCACATTCAAGTACCCACCTTCGGGAATAAACACTCCACAAAAATCATCATTATTTTGCTATAGCTCTCAACATGTGGTGTACTTATTAGCCAAGATTTATCCAGGTATTTCAATAAAAGAAGAAAGTCTGCTCAGAAATTAGGTCAGAATTTCTTAGTATAGTTATTTAAATTTTACTTAATGAGAAAAAGTTAAATAAGTCATGATTGCTTGCTTTATATTTACAGTGACAAATGAAGCAATTTTATCAAAAAGATTCAAGTATATCAACTAACTTGAAATAGTATTTAATGTTAAAGAAGCGCAGGTGTTTTCTTTAGTTATGCTTAAAGAGTTCACGGAGTCCTAGAATTCCCCTCAGCTCAGGGTTCTATGTCCTTAAAGAAGGCACTGTCACTTACACAATAGAGGTTAAGTTAGTGAACATTATTATAGCATTAGAACTATGTCCAAAGCAACAGTTTTTCTGCTATTCAAATGAAGAAATATTACAAAAGTATGATAAAAACGTGCAAATCTTCCTTTTGAGTGTGCAAATATTTGGTTCTAACTTCTAGAACAATGACTAAAATCATCATTTAAACTTAATTCAACTTAGAATTCTTTATTATTATTATTTTTTTAACTTTAGGGGAAACTTGGTGTTCCAGGATTACCAGGATATCCGGGAAGACAAGGTCCAAAGGTAAAACAATTAGCTTGATTTTTATAGTTTATCAACACTTTGTAGAGCCACTTAATCACCTATGGTTACCTTTCAGTTGTAACATAGAGATGATGAATTTTTAAAATATAATCTCACAAGAGAAAGTCATAGAGTGTGTGGACGCTTGGAGCACAGGGAGTTCAGAGAGCCTAGGTGATTATGGATTGGAGTAGTTAGGAGATGGGATCATGAAAATAAGGTGTAGTCAGCTACTTCCTCATAAATGGAATAAGGACCATTCCAGGGCAGCATACCAGTTTATCTACAAGTTATAAAGTGGATGACAGGTGATGGATAATAGCTTTTGATTTCATTTCCAGTACCCCAAAGGTATGAATTACAACTTGATGTTTTAAAAAAATAGTAATTAGAATACATCTTTCACCCTCTTTATTTTCCCTCATTTCCACAGTGTTTGTTTCCTTGGGCTAGCGTAACAAATCTCCATGAACTTGATGACTTAAAACAATAGAAATTTGGGGCCGGCCCAGTGGCGCAAGTGGTTAAGTCCGTGCGTTCTGCTGCTGCGGCCCGGGGTTCGCCGGTTTGGATCCCTGGCGCTCATCGACGCATGCTTGTTAAGCCATGCTGTGGCGGCATCCCATATAAAGTAGAGGAAGATGGGCACGGATGTTAGCCAAGGGCCAGTCTTTCTCAGCAAAAAAGAGGAGGATTGGCATTGGATGTTAGCTCCGGGCTGGTCCTCCTCGCAAAAAAAAAAAAACAATAGCAATTTACTCTTTTACAGTTCTGTAGGCCAGAAGTCTAAAATCAAGGTGTCAGCAGTGTCGGGCTCCCTCCAAAGGCTCTAGGGGAGAATCTATCCTGGTCTTTTCCAGCTTCTGGTAGCCCCAGGTGTTCTTTGGCATGTGTCTGCATAACTGCAATCTCTGCCCCCTTCTTCACATGCCCTTTTTTCTGTGTGTCTGTGTCTTCTCCTCTTCTGTCTCTTGTCACTGGATTTAGGGATAATCTGGATAATACAGGATGATCTCATTCCAAGATCCTTAATTTAATTACATTTACAAAGACCTCTTTTTCCAAATAAGGTAACATTCATGGGTTCCAGAGATTTGGATGTTGTATATATCTTTTGGGGGTCCACCATTCAACCCATTACACCACTCAAGTTCTATTTTTGACTATTTGAAATATACACATTTTAAGCATAAAAATGCATGTTCACCTAGTGTACTAATTTTCCTCAAGCTAATCATAAAACTTTGTTAAGGCTACACTTGATGCATTGACTAGTTACATTAAATTGGTTACGTGACTTAATATATAAATTTTGACTATTAATATTGAGGTAGTTATACCATTCTTTTAATTATATGCTCATGAAAATATCCATCTATCTATCTATCTATCATCTATCTATCTTTATATCTATTTGTCTATCTTTCTATCAATCATCTATCTATCCCTGTTTGACCCATTCGGTCTTGACGGGTACAGTAGATAGGGATAAATCCTGTTTATATAATAGTCCCCAAACATGTATTTATTATTAAGTTTCACAGATAATCAATGGGAGACAAAAATGCCCTTCCTCCTGATAAATGTGAACCACATACACTTGTGTGCACTCATCCTCATGTGATGACACAATTTCAGGCTTGCCATGAGGTTTTGTCTTATAATTTTTCATTGAGTTTCTAGAAAATCCTCATTTCCTTGTGCAGTAGGAGGTAAACATAATGCTTTGAGCCCTTCTAAAATAAGATTCGTGTCATCTATGATTTAAAAATAACATAAGCATCATTTAAATGTTTCTGTCTACATTTAGAACACTGATTAGTAATTTTTATCTTTTAAATAGTTTCTAACACACTGCCCTGTCTCCTAGTTACCTTTCCTTCAAATGTCAAGCATTTTCACATATATTATGAGTAAAAGAAGACATCACTCCATAACTCACGACCTTAAGCTATCCTTAGATTAACTCACAAATTCTTCACCTTATTACTAAGTTGAATTGCAACTGTGGTGGTGTTTTGATTTAAAAACAGAAAACTGTCGTATTACTTGAACAAGCACAATTTTCTTTTATGAGTTTGACATTTTTATCTTTTCTGTTTTTTTTCTAAATCAATTTTATGTTCAATATTCTTTGAGTTCTTTTTATTAACAAAATGTACCGAAATGACTAGAGAGAAATGTTTCTTCCTAGAGGAATCAAACATTTTTCTTTATGCTTTAACCTAGATGCCTGAAATTTTGGTCTTGTTTTTTTACATTACTTTTCTTTATAACTTAACTATTTTTCTGTGATCAAAAACCTTTTAGGTTTCTCAGTTCTAAAACAAAAAATGGTAGGCACATCAAAGATCAAAGATAGCTTCACATTTTTTCCTGTGTGGAAGCCAATAAATTTTGAATAAATTTGTCTTTATTGTACTGAAAGTGAAATTCAGCTGCTAATCTCTTTCAACCAATTTAAGAACTCTAATTAGACATTATAATTTATCCCATGTCTTAAGCAATACAAACTACAATGAGATTTTAAAAGATGCACTGCCAGATGTAGTATAAAATGATAGCTATTTCAAAAAGTAAAATCTATTTTAAGGTAGGATTCTTTTATATTTAGAACAGCATTTAAAATAATTTGGAAAGTTTTACGCTTATTGACTGAGCCAATTGCACCATTAATATTTGACTTTTTAGCCTTTTGTTTGTTGTTTGTTTTTTACATTTAAAAGCAGATAATACCTTTTCATGGAAATTGTATATTTTGGTGATAATTGCTTATGTGAGAAAAGAAGAAGAATATGCCCATATATTACAAACTGTTTAGTTGGTATATTGGACATTTTTGTCTCTTTCCATAAATTTCTTAGAGCAGAAACAATGTAAGAAAATTAGCTTATTAAAAATAAAATTGATGCAGAAGAGGAGTGTGTTTGAATGGAGTCTCTATAAATGTGATTAGTTATCTATTCTATTAACGACAGAAATGAATATTTGTTTCCAAATAAAATTTGATGGAAGTAAATTATTTCCATATTGGATTATACTCACTTGTCAAATTCTTAAAGTAGTCACATAGTAATTCTTTACCAGATGTAACTATCTGATTCTCTATAGAGAAAGAGAAAAAGCTTTGAAAGCCCTTCAAAAAAATGTAATTTGCAGAGATTTCTTTTTCCCATTATTGTCCTAACAATTATCCTTAGGTTGATCACATAGTTATCTCAATAGGCATGAATTAGAATGTATTGGGAAATGGGTCATAAAAAGAAGCTTAGTAGTGCATATTCTGGGTTATTATTTTGTCCATCCTCTGCCATAAAGTTTCACATACAATTTTCCTGTGGAGGAAATAGAAATTGATAGCATCCATCCTGTATGTATCACCTGGAGAAATTATTAAAAATGCAGATTTCTGGACCCTACTGCCAGAGAGTCTGTTTCAGTAGGTCTGCAGTGAAACTTGACAATCCATATCTTTGGCAATCGCTCCAGATTATTCTGATACAGAGGAGCCATTTATCACTCTGAGATAGATTACTTTAGGAGTAGTTCCTTTCAAGTGAGTGGATAAAAAAAGCAACGATGTATTCGAGTCAATGAAGGCTTCGTTATATCTCCCTTAATGCATGGAGAAGTGTGTGAAATTTGAATGACTACTACTCTTTGCTAGACATTTTACACGTTATTGCATTTAATCCATGCAATGGTCTAAACAGGAAAAGTGGGTATTTGGAAGTCCTCCTTCCCCGCCCAGGGTCTCTTGGTTAGCAAATTGAGGAGCAGGGACTTCATGATATAGTGATGAAGCAAATCAATCACAGTCACGTTCAAAGGCATCTCTGAACAGATGAAAATCTGGACATATCCACAAGGTGAGATGGGGGAGTTTGCTTATTGAGGATTATATTAAAATCCATCTGTAAAATGTGGCCATCTGTGGACAAAATTATGTAATGCTTTTACTGTGCTTATTACATCTTTAAATAATCATTATTTATTGTTATCTATCATTATCATTTTTATACCTTGCTTTTGTCTCTGGAATTTCAAAAACAGGATTTTACTGCTAGACTGTCTGAATTAGACTCTCAGCTAGATCTAACAACATTCAAACATCAAACAGAAGAGGTGGAGGAAAATTTTTAGTCTTTATGATTTGATCCAGTTCTAAAGGTGTAAAAATATTTATCTAGGGGCCGGCCGGTGGCGCAAGCGGTTAAGTGCGCGCGCTCCGCTGCAGCAGCCCAGGGTTCGCCGGTTCGGATCCCAGGTGCACACCGACGCACCACTTGTCAAGCCATGATGTGGCGGCGTCCCGTATAAAGTGAAGGCAGATGAGCATGGATGTTAGCCCAGGGCCAGTCTTCCTCAGCAAAAAGAGGAGGATTGGCAGATATTAGCTCAAGGCCCATCTTCCTCACACACACAAAAAAAATTATCTAAAAAGTGATAGGTATAGAAATACAATAATGTTAATTCAGGAAAAATATTTTCTAAAATTCCTATTTTAATATTTGATTTTTCATGCTTGTGAAAATTAAAATTTTTCTTCAGAGTTGAAGTATGTAGAATTATGTCAAAAACTTATTTTATATAAAACGCCCTATAATTGCTATTTTCTTACATAAGAAATGATAATATTTGATTGTTTTACTTAAAGTTAAAAACTAAAATATGTTTTATTAATTCATGCTTTCAATGCTTCCAGGATTTCAGATGTCACTGTAAGTTCATTTTCAAATACATGAATGGAGGTTGTATGGTATCTTAAAATTATATTTTCGATTTAAATATTAGCAGCTTGTGAGAATCACTGTGTTCTAATGACTTACAGCTTGTGGCTAAAAATGTTAATTACCATACTCATTGTTTATTGTTTTTATTTTCATAGGGTTCCACTGGATTTCCTGGGTTTCCAGGTGCCAATGGAGAGAAAGGTGCACGGGTATGATCTATAAGTATACTGTTCTGGACTCTAATATAAATGTTCTTGTATAAGTACCTATCTCTCAGCACTAAATTCACGATTTACTGTAATATGCTGCATACTGAAACTGTTTGAACTGTCTTTCGCAGGGTGTAGCTGGCAAACCAGGCCCTCGGGGTCAGCGTGGTCCAACGGTGGGTGCCTTGATTTAAAATAATGATTTTCATTTTTCATTTTGGATTTAATTTTTCAAGATAATTTTCCTCAAAAATAAAAATTGATTCTGTGCCTTTGGGTTTGCTTGGCACTAGATCAATTCCATCTTTTGCTCTCATATGCAGGGTCCTCGAGGTTCAAGAGGTGCGAGAGGTCCCACTGGGAAACCTGGTCCAAAGGTATCACCACTTGTTCCCTTCAGGCTTTACTGTCAGTTCCTCTTCCAGAGGTCAGATGCTATGGGAAGGAATCAAAACTGAGTTTTTGTTGTTGTTGTTGTTGCCAGGGCACTTCAGGCGGTGATGGCCCTCCTGGCCCTCCTGGTGAAAGAGTAAGTATGACACAATCATATAAAATAAAGTAAATATCAATATTTTGCAAATTTTTAAATTTCTGGGAAAAGGTACAAATGTCTGCAAATAGATGTATACAGTCATCCTCAAAATCTAGTCAGAGTTTAAAAATTCCTATTCTGTCATTTATTCCTCTAAAAAAAAGCTTAATAGGTTACATGCTACTAATTTTTTTTCTAGAAATGAGAGAAATACTGTGTGTAATTGGCCTATGATGTCACCCTTAAACTCGAGCCAAAATTTTTTTTTTTAAATCTCCATATAACACCTATGCCTTCTCCTCCACTCATCCCATTTTTCATGTTGATATTCATTTTGTCCGTGGAACTGGCAGCTTCATTATGCTGGTAAAATGCAAGCTACCAGTAGCCATTAAGTCACAATCGATATACATTCAAATCGAGATAAAACATCTGTTCCAGTAAACAGAAAAACTATTTAGTAAATTGATTTTCAATTGATATAAAATAAAGCTAAATACACATGAGTAAGCATGCCTTTTATCTGTTTTTGTTTTTGGCAAAATATAGCATTTCTGTTGCCAAGTTTTTTGAAAGCTATTCTCTTGAAAGGATTTTAACTATTAAATCTGTATTACTGTCAAAGAACTTAGATTCAAATTTTAATCTTCTGTAATAATTTTCAGTATTACGCAGTCATATTGATATAATTTTGTATATTATTATTTGAAATTTATAGTAGATGTTTCACAAAAACAAAGACAGAAACACCCTATGATGTATAAATTAAAATTGAGAAACAATAATTTTCTTTGGAATAAAGTTTCTATTTGTAACAGAAATGTCAGTAGATAAGACACAAGAATAAACATTTAATTACAGTTATTTCAAAGCTTTGGTCCCTATTTAATTAAATCAAACTTTCTACTAAATGTTTCTCACTCTTCATGAACTATTCTCAAATCAAGTCCATCCTGTACATTTTGAGTTCATAAATAATACATTTGAAATATTTTATGGTCAAAGTTATCTTAAGAAGAAGATACAGTTAAATTAATTGAAATGACAGAATCATTAAATAGAGTAGAACGGTTTAACAACCTATAGCACAACTAGAAGTTTTGTCTTTAAAGTACAAACTATTCTCTCTTACATATTTTGCTTATGCATTCCAAAATATCGTGATCAACCGTATGTCTTTGCAATTTTATTTTGGAAAAAACAGTGGGACCCAATAACATGATTACTTGTAATTGGAAAAACACTTTGAGAGTAAGAAAAGTATATTTTGAGAATCAAAGTAAAGGTTGATATAAAAAAAAATTTTAAGCAAGCTGGAAACCATTTTCAATAAACATTTACACGTGTTTTAAATATACAGAACACATTTCCTGTGTTCTATGTAGTTGATGAAACATTTTCTTCCTAATATAACCTCATTTCCTGCAAAGAATTTTAAGTGTTGCAAACTATTTAGTTATGTCTTAGGCACACAGTTGAAGAACAGTAGAAGTAATATCACAAATATATTTTCTTCAAAATATAAGACTTGTGTAGTTCAGGGAGAGAATTTTATAGTACCATTGGATAAGAAATGAAGTACCAATTTTTGCCCATTTCCATGGCCTTCTTCTTTAACAATACATTTATGTATAAATAAATATACGTTGCACTATATATATAATATGTTTATATATATATATAAATACACTTTGGGATATTCTACAAGTTAAATATGATCCCTCATACTCATGATCTGCAGATCATGGATGCCTGTTATTCAAGACTTAGTTAATACAGCTTTTAGTTGGGTCTCAGATTACCTAATTTAGCAAAAACAAAACAATACAAAATAAAAACAAACAACAAAAGAGCTAAGACGCTAAGAACTAAAAACTAACTGAATTCTTGAATAAGAATTCAAATTATGGAAATTTGCATTTTTCATAAACAATGAATAATTTGTGGCATAAATACGTCCCTTGCAACATGTGAGACATTTTAAAATTATTCATTATTTACCTAAAATTCAAATTTCACTAGACACTGAGTATTTTATCTGGCAACTCTAACTGGGGTCCAACACTATCTTTATACTGAGTCTTTATGTATTTTCTAGGTCACCTGGAAACTATTTTGATTAATACCGAGAGAACATGTCAACACTTTTTTATGGCATTTTATAAAGAAAGACCCACTTTTTCTTATTTTCTCTGGAGGAGTGATTTTTGAAAATTTTTCCTTCTTAAAGAAATTTAAATTCAAAATCAAATTTTATTTGAAAAGCAGCAAAAATTTAAAAGCAATGAAATGACATTGTAAGAAATTACAAAAATAGAGCTTGCTACATAACCTAAAGAAATACTATTTTTAAAATTTTGTATTTAAAATGAATTTTTATTTGTGATTTTCTTAAGTTATTGTGACAGATATATAAGAATAATAGTTTCATACTTTAATGAGTATCAAAATTTATAAGTTCCAAAAATTTTCCAGTGTTTTGGGAATTGCATGTGATATCTGTTTTCTTAATGACATATCTAACTTTGAAGTTTCTTTTTGATTCTAAGATAAGGTGCTGGTAACAGCAATAATTTTTGCTGATTTCTAAACTGGCATTGGCTTAAGAATGGTAATGAAATTTCCCTTAGAAGACTAAATCGATAAGTTGAAAAGAGTAAATTCTATTAAAGACTAACTTTAGTAAACTTTATTTTTTATTTAAATATAAATAAACTCTCCCCTAATTGTATTACTTAAAAAATGTATTTATATCATCTTCCTTTTTATATATATTCCTTTTAGAAATATAATTCTTATGTTCTGGGCATAAAGGATTATTTTACCAATCCTTTTGCTGCCAACAATACAATCACTGTAATAGGGTCTATTTTATGCATTTTAAAGCTATGTAAATATGAATGTTGAATAATATAGTTAGTTAAGCGTCAAATCAAGAATGATATTATAAGTGTACATTTGAATTGCATGTTAATGAGAATAATTATACAGTAAAGTTCTTTTCATCTTATCTACAAAAGAAGTGTATACATGAGTAAAATGAGATATTGACATCTTCAAAAATAAATATATTTTAAATATAGAGATTAGTTAAAGGCATCCTCTATGGTCTTTTGAGATACTCACTTATTTTTGTTTTTAGTTTTATAGGGCTAGAGCCAGAACATACATGGAATCAATTTTAAAAACAATATTTTTTGTGGGGGAGCTATGGAATTAAAAATCCTCCTTCTATGGATGTTTCCAGGCAATTTTAAAAGAAGAGAATCTGTGGAACTTCTTGATACACTTATGTTGTATTCACTTTCAATACAAATTCCAAATATTTATAGTGTTCTTGCGTTAAGACCATTCATGTGATGTGTGGTTTTACATCATGAGTAGTGTGAAAAATCATCCGTTGTGCTCTTAGATCAGCACAGTTTATCTTGTATTGCCGTAGTTCTGTCCTTATGGTGAAGAAGCTGTATAGTGTATTGTGTTTTATCTGCAGAAATAAACTGCTAAAAGTATAAAGATGTGTCTTTTTAAGGCATATTCTTAAATTTCCCCACTGCTTTTGATTTTCAGGGCCCTCAAGGACCTCAGGGTCCAGTTGGATTCCCTGGACCGAAAGGCCCTCCTGTAAGTGTCATAGTTTATCTTTCTTCATTTAACAATGTTTTCCAGTTTTTGAGAGTCATAGCTTGTATTTTAAATGATTTTTAGATACCAATATTGATAAAAATTCCTATAAAAACAAAATTGCAACTAAAAATGTCAAAGAATATAGATGTTTATAATTTATGATGTTTAGTGTTTCTGAATATGATTTAAAGATATGTTATTAAATATTCTTTCAAAATATATCAGACTAGAACAACCTGAATATTATTCTCTCAACTACTCCTCCACTACAAGGAATATTCCCATTTATCTTCCATCATCCAGTGTATCCTTCTTCAAAATATCACTTCCTAAACACCCTCCAACATTCTGATGTTACTTATATCACATTAAGATTTATTTATTTGTATTTACCATTTTTCTCTCTATAATGCATTCTTCTTGTAAAATGTAATGATAACCTCCTCAGAATCATATCCCTTTTATAAAATTCATTTAGAACAACACTCTTTTGAATATCTTCATCAAATAGCTTCACAAAGTTAATTGAAAACCCTGATTTTTATACTTAGATATTCATGGGAATATAGGACATGCTCAGTGCCCAGTTCTTTTCTTTTCCTTTTCTTTTTTTGGCAACCTGTATAGTTTATTTATGAGAACTAGAATCAACTTACCCACTGTCTTGTCCATTCTGGCTGCTATAACAAAAAAACCACGGACTGGGTAGCCTATAAACAACATAAACTTATTACTCACAGTTTTGGAGGCTAGAAGTCTGAGATCAGGGTGCCAGCGTGATCAGGTGAGGGCCCTCTTGTGGGTCGAAGACTTTTCATTGTATCCTCACATGGCAGAAGGGGCTAGGGAGCTCTCTGGAGCCTTTTTAAGTTACTAATCCCATTCCATGGAGGGTTCCACCTTGAACACTTAAGTACCTCTCAAAGACCTCACTTACTAATAATATTACCTTGGAGGGTTAGGACTTCAACATATGAATTTAACCAGGAGGACACAAACTTTCAGACCATAGCATCCACCTGTCTAAGGAAGTTGTTCTCAAAGTGTGGTCCCTGGACCAGAGCATCAGCAGTGCTTGGGATTTGTTAGAAATGCAAAGTCTTGTCCCTACCACACTCACCTAATCAGAACTCTAGGAGAGGGGCCCAGAGAGTCTGTGTTTTAACAAACTCTCTAGGTAGTTTTGATGCATGCTAAAGTTTGCAATCCACTGTTCTAGTCCAGACTAGACAATCCTATCCAAACTTTAATGTGCATACAAATAATGTTAGTATCTTGGTAAAAATGTAGATTTTGATTCAGTAGGTCTGGGGTGAGTATTGAGACTTGACATCACTGACAATGTACGGATGATGCCAATACTGCTGGTCCGTGGGCTATACTTTGAGTGGCAAAGTTCAAAAATATTTTGGCTGAAAATAAAACCAAGATAGTTTCAATATGATCTACTCTGCAGGAAACTAAGAATAATTAAAATTTTTAGTCAATGATTTGAGAGCAAAATGTTTGTCCGTTGTAATAATACAAATAACTAATTCCCAGTAAATCATTACTAGCAGTTTTACTCACATCCTGGTTATTTTCATTTAGAGGCACATTGATATATATTTTTAGGCTGAATATTTTAAACTTATTTTGAACTGAATCTTCTTGATAAACCCACAACATACACCTTCTATGAGGAAATTGTGTGAGGCTTTTCATATATTCCAATATTTCAAAAATTATACATCCCAATTTTCTATTTTCAAATAATTGTACTTAACCAAGTGTAGTTGAATAAAAGTCGTGCATAAACAATTCAGAAAATTCTAAATTAAGATGTTAAAATTTTAAATGTGTTACATCTGATTACATTATATTTTTAATTTATAAATAAATAAATGTGTTCTCTGGTTTTTTATTGAGTTTGAATAACCATCTGTTTCACTGATTACTTTCAAATATGACTTTAGCTCACACCTTTAAAAAATGAATTATTTATTGTGAAATACTTAAATTAGAGATTAAATGTTGAAGCAATCTCTTACTTTTTGCAATAATTTTTAGACACTGTTTAAAACGTTATTTTAATACTAACAGTTTTGCTTTATTACTACAAACATGTCAAGAAAGGATTATCTATATTACAGTGTTACAAAAGGATTAAGAGTATTAAATATAGGATAATTGATACTACCTGCATATAATGTTGTTTACCCACTATTTCAGTTTTGTTCCAAATGTAATGTGAAATATTACTTTGTATGCAAAGTTTCACATACAGAGAAGTGAAAACATAGTTCCAAAAATGGTTGTACATGTAAGATTTTTCCATACGGATTTTGAAGCCAAGTGCATAGATTGTTGTTTGGCAACATAAAATCCAGTGATACACATAACCTCAACATTACCGTACCATTTATAGTTGTACACATTGTTAAGAATTGTTTCCCTCATGTAATGTAATTTTATTGTCAAAGAAAGCTATTTGACACATTTTTCCTTAGACTTTTTCAGTTTATTCTCTCATGTATCTCTCAACAAGTTTTGAGCCATTGATCATGCATGCATTTTGTCTCTGAGAAGTATTATAAATACCTACCCTTGAGAAGCATGCAGTCTAGTTGGAGAGACAAGACATGGTTAAGGAACATTGCTTTCACTGTTAAATAAAACGATTTTTATACTCCGTTTCGCTGACAAGTGACACATTAGAGCATGAAATAAAAGTTCCTGTCGTTTCTCTGGTATGCAGTTTTATAACATTTAGGAAAGAAATTCCTTCATCTCTTTGATATAGAAGGAAGAAATTCAGGTGGAGGGTAAAACCAAGCTCCTCTTCCTGCAAATTAATTGGTTCATCTTCATTATAATCAGGAAATGTATATAGATTTATTTTTTTTCACACAGACACACATGCATATATGGATTTTGGATTGAGTGCCTGGAATGTTCATGTTTAGAGTCTGTTAATCTCATACCAATGTTAGCATATAGTTACCCCATTAAGAAAAATTTTAATTTGAGGTGATTAAGATTTATAACATGACTATTACAAGATACATTCTATTTATAGAAGAGGAAAAGTCAAAACTCAGTGCCAAGGGGAACTAGAAAAACATCCTTAACATTTATTATAAGTGTCTTTTCACAGATTGCCTTGCTGTGCACACACATCCTCATTTAGATGAATTTGTTACCACTGCCCTTCACCAGCTACATCAAAGGGGCAGCCTATTTTGATCAATAAAATTATTTTTTTTAATTAATGCCATGAAATTATTTGGTAATTAATCTACTTATTTTATCGGATAGTAGTGTGAAGCCATTACAGTTATTTAATTAATTAGTATTAATTATTAACATTATAAATACATACTTAAATCAAGAAGACTGATGATGACATGAATTCTTTATGTAGTCGATTAACCCTGCTCCCTCAGGATATCCAGGAAAGCCATTAAAAATTGTGTTGCATTCATTCCAGGGTGACATCATTTAGATCTAAGATTACTGTGTTAAAGGGTTCTAATATTTTGCAATAAAAGTATAATCTATTCTTCTCACATCAACAAATATAATGAGATATTTAGCTTTTATATTTGAAGATTTGTTAGAAAACATGTAAATGTCTTATGCTGATGGAAAAACACATCATTTGAGAGGTATTTTAGCATGGTGGGGAAAAAAACCCAACTCATATTTATTATCCTTTAGCTGTCACCCTCTATTTTTAGTTAAAACTTCTACTACTGCCCCCAACTGACAGCACATTTATTCCCATACATATCAAAATGTGGTAAAGTGCAGAATTCATTTTTATTTACTGTTTTGAAATACTGAAGCTGGATGAAGTCTACCAGCAATTAACTACTTATTTTTGTGTTTCACCTTTAAACACAAGGCAGAGCTACATCTTATGTTACTGTAAACTTTGTACCTAATACATATATATGTAATATATGATTTGAAAGAAGAAATGGTTAAATGATGTCCAATAACGTTTGGGGGCCTTGGTTAAAAACATTCCAGTTTTGATCTTTTGGGGAGGATGGCACTAGAATCACTAAGGTGGTCCTGGAAAACATGAGCAAATCACTGAGCAAGCAATGACCTTATGAAATATCATAATAATAGTCTTTAATGAGAGCTGTTAATTCACATGACAACCAGTGTGTCAATAAAGAAGAGCTCAGGGAGCAGAGCTGGTACTAGGCACTGTCAGGAAGCCTTTCTCCTGAAGTGTTATAGCTAACCTAGAAAAAGTCTTACTCTAGTGGAAGAAAGCTATGTGTGAAAATTATCTTATTTTGAAACAAGGCCTTGTTCTAACTCAGTATAAAAAGAATTGGTATATGAAAATAGATTTATTTAAATAATGTATTTGTTTAAATAAATAAATGTATTTAAATAGTTAACATATCATGAGAGGTATATCTGTTGTCATTAAAAATGTTGTTAGAATGATCATTTCTCTTCATTTATCCAGAAGAGTGAGAATATTTCTGCCTGTATCCGTTAAACATTTTTTGAAATTTGAACTTGATACTTAATGGTTTCTGAGTAGGATGAATAATCCATAATGCAGTCTAAAGAAGCAATCTATTTCTACTATCTATCTAAAACTTAGGAACCTTGCCGAGTTGTTTAGGTACTTGGTTAATTGCTTCATCTATTTCTTCAGTCATGACAAAGACAGCATCCTTTAGAGACAGTGATAGTATAGTAGATTTGCTCTCCAGTGCTTAATAAACATTATGCTTCCAAGAGGATATTTAAGAATGTCTACCGGGAAAAGTTAGTCCTGATAACTTCTAAAATCGAGCGTAGCACCCTGTTTCCTTTACTTGAAGCAATCGAGAGGTCAAGTGCCATTGTTTATAAGAGTTTGTATTTCTTTTCATTCTTGTCGGTTAGAAGCTCAGACCACCACTAGAGGACACTATCTTTCTCTGTTATCCAAGTCCTGACGCACAGGAAATTGGATTAGGAACAGATCACCAAAAAGAGAGGAAAATATTCATTTGTCAAGTAGTGAAGAACTAACGGTTTTGCAAAAATAAAAATACAAATCTATATGAATATGTTTTTAAAAAAGACAGATGCTGGGGCCGGCCCTGTGGCTTAGCGGTTAAGTGCACGCGCTCCGCTACTGGTGGCCCGGGTTTGGATCTGGGAGCACACCGATGCATCGCTTCTCTGGCCATGCTGAGGCGGCGTCCCACATACAGCAGCTAGAAGGATGTGCAACTATGACATACAACTATCTACTGGGGCTTTGTGGAAGAAAAGGAGGAGGATTGGCAATAGATGTTATCTCAGAGCCCGTCTTACTCAGCAAAAAAAAGAGGAGGATTAGCATGGATGTTAGCTCAGGGATGATCTTCCTCACAAAAAAAAAAAAAAAAGATAGATGCTAATGAAATAATTTAAATGCAAAATGGTCAGAATACAGTTGTGTCATTTTCTCTTGGTTTCAGTTACAGATAGAATTATACTAAAAAGATATATGCACATACTACCATATATAAAATAAGCAGAACATCAAAATATTAAATCTAATGAAAATATGATAAGAAAATTGTCTAACATTACATTTAGACTATAAACCAATTCAAGAAATATTTATGACATGTGGTGTTTAATATTTGTCATTTTAGGGACCACCTGGGAAGGATGGCCTGCCGGGACACCCTGGGCAACGTGGAGAGACTGTAAGTCCCCATTGTTCTGACTGAAATTTTCCATCTCTAGCACCTCATCATTTCACAGAAAGCTACTTTATTATAACAGCTCAGTTACCAAGTTAGAGACAATGGAGAAATTAATTCCATTGAAACTTTTATTAAATATATAAATAAACCCATATTTGTATCTAAATACCTAAATGAACATGCTTGAGGATATGGGATGTTACTTGATTTCATTGTCCTTATTGTCAATAACAGCACTTTAGAGATGAGCTGAAGGAGAAGACCCCCTTGTCTTTTGGACATCTCCACAAGGTTATCAACCCTGACCCATTTACTGAAGTCTTTGTTTATAGATATATTCCACCCAACCCTATCACCCTTCCTTTCTCTAAAGGAAGCACATGACAATAAGCCATGCAGATAATACAGTCTTCTATCTAAAGGATAGAGTATTTTCTGATGTTGGAACTATAAGGCTATAATTATTCTGGAACTAGGTCAAATGAATCCTCTTGCCTCAAGTAAGAAAATATAAATGGGAAAATGTAACTGAATTTTATTTTAAGATTATGAGGAATATAACTTTAAATAAATTGTCTGAACAACTTATGTGTATAACAATGATTTGGGCAGATGGGAAACTGGAAGCTCGACTCCAATTTAGTGACCCTGGTGGGTTTATTTATTTATTCTGCCTCTGTTGTAAAACCATGTGTCAGGCTATTCCAGTGGGATGTTAGTCTAATCAGAAACCATCATGGATTATCATGTTTCCTTGGAATCAATTCTTGGTTCTCACCATTGATTAATTTTATTCAGGTTTCTTAAGGAAACCACAACACAGACTACTTTTGACTATGTGCTCAAAATCATTTTAGGGCATTCTGCCAACACAAAGACAAGTTTGGAGTTGCATCTCAGTACACGATAACAAATCTGAAAACATGATGATTATCTGTGTAGGAGAAACAATGTATCAGCAACAACCCAATTCCTGTTTTGCTCACCAAGTGACAATTCTTAGTGTAACAATTTCTTAGTTTTAGTCAGATTGTAAACTTCAAAGTCTTGGATTTCAAAAGCAGAATCAAGAATGATTTAGTGAGACCAAAGAGGAAGAATATTTGGGTGTCCTCCTGGGAATGACATCTGCATGAGGAGCATAAAATAAACTCTCTAAAGGAGAATCCACGTTCAAATTTGCAAATGCATTCTCATTCAAATCTTGCAGTCAATCATTTTTAACTAAGTCATCGGGTAGCTTCCTGGGGATAACTCTAGAATATTTCCAAATGTCTTTTGAGGAACGGATACCTAGAGAATTACCATTATAAAATCCCTTTTGTCTTCTATTTCATCAAGAGCTGCTGCATCTATCCAAAGTAACCATGTTATATATAACATTTAAATTTAAACAAAGAAGAAAAATAGCATATTAACTAATGATTCTAGGATGGATGTTCTCATCTCATACTTTCTCACAGACAAAGGCTAGAATTATTCCTGGAAAATTGTTTTCCTGATTTCAAATCTACATTTAAGAGCAATGGTGAATCACCCCATAGCCAGGAACTTTTCCTTCTCACCTTGTTCTGTGCTGACTGGGATTCAAAAGATTGCCCTATCCAGCAGTCAGAATCTAGAGCAGCTAGATTTTACTGTATATGTGTTATCTTATTTTAGAGAAGAAATTCTGCTGTTATATTTGAGATTTGTCCCCAGTCAGAAATCCTTGAAGTGAAGATTCATTCTGATGTCTTACAATTCAACACCACTAGGAATAATTAGAAATAGTTTGTCTATTATACTGAGACAACCCAAATTTGTCTCAGAAACACAGTGCTAAATCCTGCATTGATCCTAAAACTAGCTTAGTCCCTTAGAGTGATCAGAATAAGAGTTACATTTTTAGAGGGTCCAACAGCAGATTTTTCTTCTTACCCATTTATCAAATTTATTCCTGTTTTCAGGGACTTTGAAAAACATAATTTGACTTGGTATTCTAAATTAAATGCAATTGTTGTCTTATTATATGACAGTATTGAACAAGCACACTCCATTCTAAACTATAAAAGTTTTTTTTGTACATAGTTTATTTGGAAGATCAGTAGTGTCAGATTTATTAGATACTTGCAAACACTCTGAATGTTTTAAATGAGCAGACGTATGGATAATGCTGTCTTCCAGCCTCTCCCAAATCTATCACCCACTCCGACGTGCTAACACCCAAGCTTTTCTCTTTCCTCCTGGAATGTATGAGTGCAAGATTGGGTTGTGAATTTTTCACAGAATTTCCTCAATTAAGCATTGATTTTTTTTGTGTGTGTGTGTGAGGACACTTAGCCTCTTTTTCCTCTTTTTTGCTGAGGAAGACTGGCCCTGGGCTGACATCCATGCCCATCTTCCTCTACTTTATATGAGATGCTGCCACAGCATTGCTTGACAAGCAGTGCCTCAGTCCGCGCCCGGGATCCAAACCTGTGAATCCCAGGCTGCCAAAGCAGAGCACGCAAACTTAACTGCTGTGCCGCTGGGCCGGCCCCTAAGCATTGATTTTTAATCAATTGATTTTCATCATTATTTTGCAATCGTTTTTTGTGTGCTATTCTTTCTCTCACAGTTACTAAGAAAAAACTTTATGAAACTTGAATGTTTTTAAGTTCAGAATTGTATTTACATCTTCATGTCTAACTTAGTGATTAGAAATTGGGAGAAGGGTAATCCAGACAGAGAGTACAGGCCGTGCAAATACATGGTGTGTGGCTATTCAGGGAAAGGTGAGAAAATCAACATGGGTAGAATTTAGGACATATTTTCAAAGCAAAGAGGTAACTGGAGTGACAGACTGGGCCCACAGTTTATAGAACTTGGTAATGGGTATTGCATGATATATGCTTAACAGTGAGTTGGTTCGATTTGCTTCTGTGAGATGGTGACTGGCTAAAGTGGACAAGTGAGTGAACCTGACTTGAAAACCTGCAACGGTCAAGGAGCGTGGTGATTACAGTTTGAATGAAACAGGTCTACTAGACAAGCGAGAAGAAGCTGTATTTGAGAGAGTTTCTGAGATGACACTGTAGGATTAAATGACTGAGTCTGAGGACTGAAGGAAAGTTTGGGATCTGAAGTCACTCTGTTACTAAAGGGAGAGAACACAGGAGGAAAATCAAAGGAGGGGATTCACTTAGTGAGCTCCAAGCTGGGAAGGTTAAGTTGAGGAGAGAGCATGAGATACAACTGGAAATGTCCAGTAGGCACTTAACTGAGAGAATTTTCGAACTCAGCACAGATTAGCGTTTGAGAAATAGTTTGTTGCAGAGGAATTCATCAGCATATAGATAACAGTTGTGGTCATGGAGTTTATTGAGATACTATAAGGAGTATGTACGGTTTGGAACTAAACCCTTCGAGCAAATGCTTAAGAGTAACAGCAAGCTGTTAGCTCTCAGTGGAAAGTAAAACAAAATATGTGTGTATATATATATATATATATATACGCATATACATTATAGACACAAATGTATACATGTGCTTGTATATGTATGTATATATATGAGTGTGTGTAAATTTCCAAACCAATAAGTTGCCAAAAAGTTAAAATTAAGCAGTCAAGCTACTATTTTGTTTATAAAATGCTAAATAAATTCTATGTCATTGATCCGTTTTGCTATTAGGAGTGATAGCACAAGTGGAACCCTGAAGGTCTTAAGAATTAATGGATTTAAAAAATAAGAGAAATCTGTTTTCTTTCCCTGTAATATCCATTAAAATAATTACAATTACAGATTCTTTTCCTTTTCCTACTTATAAAATTTTGTTATTATAAATAATTTAATCATAATTGTCTGGAAGGTTGTGATACAAACATGGTGCTCTCAGTTTCTGCCTTTTGCTTTCTAACGTTATTGTTTTCAGTCTGATGTTATAGTGAATAAAACTTTTACAAATACTGTATGCTTTAATTCAGTTCTTTGGAAAGTTTTTCTCCCAGTATTTTGAATCTATTTCTCCAACTGTTAAACATAAGTTAATTTACATGAGAAAGAAATCTGTGAATCACGTAGAATGAATAACCCACGAGTCTAGAGAAATATGGATACCATAATATATACCCACAGGCTTTGCTTAGTGAGTACATGCTGCTCATCTCTACTGGATTTTATTTTAATGACTGCATTACATGCAAAGTACATTTGTAAGTATATTCTTTTGGGTTTTAAGAAAGAACACTGATAAAATGCTGAAACGATTACTAATCGTACAAAGTATGTTTTTATAAATTTATTTTTGTATATTGTTTTATTTTATGAGATTGTTGGAATGCAGGAAAGAGAAATACATTAATATCACACACAGTAGATTAATCTCTGTATACAGAACCAGTGTACTGTTTCAAAGAATGTCTGGATCATCATTTATTTCATTCATAAACATTGCTACGTTAAAATTCTCTATGTTGTTTGACCTGGTGGAACAGAGTTGAGAAGACATTTTTGTTCCAGCTTCAACCCATTGTTTTATTTTCTTTTTCACTTTTGAAAGTAGTCATTGGACTACAGTGTGAAATCGTGAAGATGATAAATTTTGAATATTAAAGAGAACTGGAATATAATAACTGATAAGCACTTAAAAATAAATATTGTTAGCCAAAAGATGATTTCTTTAATGTGAGTTATTCAGTTTTCTCAGAAAATTTTAATGTGTACTCTGAGTCCTGTATAGTTTTTATGGATTATGCTTTATTCCCTTAGGGATTCCAAGGCAAGACCGGCCCTCCTGGACCAGGGGGTGTTGTTGGACCACAGGTACATTTCGTTACTTTATTTCCCCAACAAGATTTATTTTTCTGTTTATGTTTTCACCTTCCCTAAGTTGTGCAAAATCTGCCCATTTTATTATGATTGAAAATGATGTATTTTTATATTGCAGATGGAATTTAAATGTATGCAACTTGGCTACATCAAATGTGATTCAGCAAACTATTACTTAAGTAAAGTGATTTTTCAATTGCCTGAATGAATAAAAGAGAAGAATAAAATAAATTATGAAAATAAGTCAGGAAATTCACAATGAAGTTAACATGAAAGCCCGACAATAGCACCATCTGCTAAAAACACCAAAATGCTTTATTAAATAGGTTGGCCATCATCTTTTCCCAGAATTTCAAATTATAAAATGACTTCAGTTTTTTTAGTTTAAATTAGCTTGAGAAGTATAATACATTAGAAATATAAAGCTTTGAGCACAATCTTCTAAAATTTGAACACTTGTAATATATTACGTATTTCTTAAGGTTTTTATCTTCACAACAATGATTTCCATGAGTGATAAAATAGTAGTTTGTAATCTTTGAGTATACTGAAATAATGGAAAAGAGCTTTTTCAAGATAGGTGGCAGAAAGAGTCTCAAAAATTGAAACAGTATCCTGATTATAATATTAAATAACTATAGAGAATAATTCACAGGAATAGAAAACAATATTTTTATTCTGACAAAGCATATTGAATGGACAGGACACATTTAGCTTACACAGCTGGAGTTTTACCCCTGCTAATAACAAATTATAGCAAAAGAGCAAGAGCAGTTGAATAAGTGTTTTAATTATTTAATTGCTTTAAATAGACTTTTCTCAGCCTATAATTAGTTCTTAACACTTTGTAATTCAAACACACACACACACACAAACAAACACCAACATCTAAACACACACACACACACAAAGAGACAAAACACTGCATCTTCTTTCTTGGAATATGTGTGATGGAAGCAGCAATGAAGAATTCTTGGTTGATCATTTTATTTCAGAGATTAATCCTGAGCCACGGGAAATGCTAACTGTTCCCTCCTTTATAAAGAAAACAGAGTATACGTGATACTTTTTGCATACTTTTTTTATGCTAAAGGCCTCCTTTTAACTATCAGTTTTCATTTAAAAAAATACTCCCTCATTACTTAGCTTCCACCAAAAATATTTTTATTTTTCTGTTTCAAACAACTTCACAACAATTTTCTGTGAAAAAATTTAGCAAAAAGAAGACTTATTATGTTACATATCCATGAACAGAAATAGAATTAGATTCCAACTACAATGTAAACATTTGGAGCTCAACTGAATATTTCTGGACCGCACACCTTTTGAAAATTTATCTCTGCCTAATGCAGACATCTGGTTTCTAAGACTTGTGTTCTTTTTTCTCCCTACTTTAAAGCATAAAAATAGCAGGTGTTTTATTGAGTATGCATCATCATTGGATTATTCTTCTTTATTGGTCCTTTTGAGAAAGAAAATCCAATTGCCTATTTCACATGTAACCATGTTTTCATGTTAGGATGAAGGAAGTGATTTAATAGGAGCAATATTGATTACAATACTTGATATTCATTCCTTTTTTTGTACAGTCATGTGAATCATTGCTCATTTTTGTCTCAATGGTGATAGCCATTAAATTAGGATCAATTTTACATTCTTTACTATTGAAATTCTGATCAGATATTTAAGGAAAAATTCCTTTCAGGAGAAGTGTTTGCACGTTAATGATAAGTTGGGGACTTTCAGCAATACGTAATTAAAGGAATTTAAACCTGGAAATGTACACTCAAATTTGGGGCAGATATGTTCTTTATCCAAGACCAAAAAGTAAGAATCTGTTGCATTTTTAGAAAAATAACAAAGAATGATATTTCATAAGCGACTTCAGTAACACATCCCACTGCTTAACAACCTTAGCATCTGGAAACTTTCCCTTTATATATCTTTAACTTAAATCCTTCATTTTGCTTTATTCTAAGTGGAGATAGAGAGCAACTGGCCACCATTCTCAATTTACACTTGAAGGCTCATTAAACTTGAGCACCAGAAAACAGCAGCACTCAGGGGACACATAAATGACCTGACGTTTTTCACTTTGGCATTTGTAGCAATTTAAGGCAGCAGGCTATTTGTTATAGCCTTCGGCCAGAGGAGCTGCTAGCCCAAACTCATGGCCTTCAGGGTCCCCCTGCCACATTCTCTAGACTTTGTCAAACGAATATAGATTAACAAAGGGAGGTCTCCAATCATGGAAAATCCAAGGAGAACCACTTTGGTTGTTTGAGTTCCAGGGGACCTGGGCTTATTATCAAGCAGTGATTCACTGAGCAGCTACCAATGTGGTGCCAATGCCTCTTTTACTCCTTAACTCATTTGACACCTTATATAAAAAGAGGCAATGGGATGAAACTGTAGTTAAAAACCACAGTTTTTAATAATACTTGGACTAGCCTCATTCTGAAGCAATTCTGATATTAAACAAAGAAAACAGCTCTTTGAATTTATCTATATATTTCTCTTGTACACTCAGATTCTAACCAAGATTACACATAATCTTTTCAGACTCTTATCAGATATGCAGACTCGTATCAGTGCTTTATATGAAGTGTTTTGTAGGACATCATGAAAATAAATGAGAATGATACACTTATGTGAAAGGAAGTAATATTTATTTTGAACTTGGGTTTATTTATTTGGGTTATCTTTGCCAAAAATAAAAGAGCAATCTAATGAAGTTTTGCTTATCTGATTTAGGGTCCAACTGGTGAGACTGGTCCAATAGGTGAACGTGGACATCCTGGCCCTCCTGGACCTCCTGGTGAGCAAGGTCTTCCTGGTGCTGCAGGAAAAGAAGGTGCAAAGGTATAACATGCTCAAGGAATTGTCTAGGCTGAAAACATCCATTTACTTTTCACTGTAGCTTCCCATCACTTCTCCATAGATTCTCTAAATATTGCCATAGTATTTAAATGGATGTCAGAAAGATATGTCAGTAAAATGTTGTTTATTGTACTATAAGGCATGACTGAACAATCTTAAGATCAGTTAGCTCCATTGACCATAAAACCAGCCATTTATGTCTCTCATAGGTAGCGGTTAGTTCATTTTAATGTATATGGCATTCTACACAATATTCTCATCATTAAATGATATTCAAGCTTTACTTACAGTAGGTTGGAGGTAATCATAATTTTGTTTGAGAAAACATGTATAGAACTTACTCCCTATGATGGATGTATCTTATATTCTTTAGGGTGACCCTGGTCCTCAAGGTATCTCAGGGAAAGATGGACCGGCAGGACTACGTGGTTTCCCAGGTGAAAGAGGTCTTCCAGGAGCTCAGGTATAATCAACATATAGATAAAGCATGTGAATGAAATTGCTTATTAGAAACATTTTTTTCAGGGCTTAACTAAATAAAGATTCATGAGTAATTTAGGGAAAATATGTAAGCATATGCGTTGATTATCATAATATATATAGCAATATGTATTTGTGTCTAAAAACACTTCCTAGCATCCTCATTTTATCAATCATACATCTCCTCCTATTTATATTCAGTTCACATTGATTCATTTCCTTTGTTCTTTCACTTTTCCCAGGGTGCACCTGGACTGAAAGGAGGGGAAGGTCCCCAGGGCCCACCAGGTCCAGTTGTAAGTATAATTACAATAAATAGCCACGCTATCCATGATTGCAAATTACAGCTCTTCTTTCATTACTCTCATGCTGTGAGCCCACAGTATGTGGGAGAGAAAATAAACACATGTCAATCAAATCAGTCAGTGCCTGGTTTCTACTAATTGCATGTACTAATGAGTGCAGAAACAGAAGAGTTTAGATGATTGGAAATATTTATTCCACTGCTGCTGGCAGGAGGTAAAAAGATCTGTCTTGCCTCTTACAATACCCAAGGAAATAAATCATAATTTTTCTGATTCTGAGTGCTTGATGAGACTTGAATTTTATCAATGCTTTTAAAAAAATCTCGTAAGCATGAAAGGCATATATTTATTTTATGTATTATCCAGATTGCTTTATTCAGTCAATGTAACCTTATAAAATAATTGGTCAATGAGTAAATATATTTTTATATATATACTTCACCTTTTCTTGTCTTGAGATATATATCAGTCCCTCAGAAAGCAATCAAATACAGCCTTCTTTTTTTTTCCGTAAATTCACCATCGTTCTTATCTGTACTCCGAAAAGTTACCAATAACAGCCAAACTCCCAATTTTAGTGGCCTCTTCTCATTCTCCATTTTATTTCACCAATCTAAAAAGCTGAAAGTTTCCTTAAATTCTCTCTCAACTTCCTCATACGACATGTTGAGGTCATATTAGTTCTACTTCCAAAATATTTTTTTAATTTGTCCCCTTTTCTTCATTTCCATTACCACTACATTTGTTCAGACTCTTTTTTGTCTCTCCTTTTTAATAGTGTCTTAACTCATCTCCTTGACTCCATTTTCTTACCCTCTTTAGTCAGTTTTGCCCACTGATTCTAGAATTATAGCTACATATCCTTAACTATGCCATTCCTCTGCTTATACATATCACATGGTCCCACGCTGCTTTCAGAAACCTAACTCCTTATCATGACCAACAAGTCATCTTTTACACTTTGCAGAGAGAGTACTTTTTACTTTTCCCATTCTTCCAAGAAACCGCATTTTTTCTTTCACCACTGGACGAAGATCCTACTCATTCATAGAGATCAAGCTTAAATGTTAAATCTCTATAAAGTGGTCTTTGGATAATTTGCCTCCATTTCATTTATTATTGAAACTTCTTCACCCTCAGTGCTCTTTGTAATAATTTGTGTTTTAGAAATTACATTGGAATATAATTGGTTGTCTTCTCATTAGACTGAGTCCCTTGTATTATTTTGGTTACTTTCACAGCACGATGTCTGACACATAGTAATCATTCCGTATCTACCTGTTCGAATTATCATAAAGCCTGATATTGGAGTAAAGTGTGTATAACACAACTAATACTGAGAACACAGTAATGGAACCTTTCACAGACTGATTAACATTGTATTTAATCTGTAGATCATTCAAATGTCATATCACAATGATTAAGGTATGTACAGACATCTAGTAAATATTTTTTTTAAAGAAAAATAAAATATTTCAGTAACTATATTTGACTTTCCATATTCATAAAATTCATAATATTATGTAGAACATTTTTAAATATCCTTGTAAGTTAGTGGTGGTAGCACTAGCAGGAACAATAGTTGAATGAAACGAAAAGTTCTTATTTGAGCATAGGATCTTCAAAATTTCTAGTGCAATACAATCCATTTAATCAGACTTCACGTTCTAAAGTGATTTTATTTTAGAAGTATATATATATATATACTTACAAATATATGTATATTTAAGTAAACATATATATATTTAAGATCAATGGTTATTACACCTGTAAAACCTGCATTATGACCAGAAGGATTAAATTGTTTAAAGTTGTTTTTAGGACCCGAGCAAACAATGCTATTCCAAGTGTTTGGAACAGTTGAAATCAATGTATTTGTAGGGGACATAATATACCCAGGAGATACATTTTAACAAGATATTAATCAACAATTATCCAGTTACATGTAGAATAATATATTAAATATGATATAAAAATCTAATACGTCATGTATTTAATTGGCTTCAACAACTGTTTATTTGGTAAATACTACTTACTTCCCTGTATACAGTTAAGCTCCATGGAAGAGATCCCTTTAAGAGACTTAAAATAAGATAAATAATTTTGGAAAGGAACACATCAAAGTCTAAACAGCACTGTAAGACAGTCAATGATCAAATGCCTAATGACATACAAAGAATAAATGGTAGTTGTGCCAGGGATGGGGAGAGAGAAGAGAAATCAGCAAAAGGGCCCTACAGGAGGTGGCCCTTGAACTTGGCTTCACGGAGTGCAGAGGATCACAAAATCATTTAAGATCAAGAAAATGATATTAGGAAAGGGATAAAGTGTTTAAGGAATATCTGGTCTTACCAAAGTGGAGCACCTTGGGAGAAGGACTAAAATTTGATGAATTCTTGCTAGGATCTAGGCACTTTGCTATGCATTTACATAATGTAAAGCTAAAGCAGAACTATAATACAGCATGTGATTATTGAAGCTCTAAAATGGCAAATTGGAGTAATTGGAAGATTTGAAGTTTTTGGAGCAAATGGAGAAAAAAATCAAAGTTTTTTGGAGTAAAAAATTAAAGTTTTAAGGACAAAAATCATCACTAATGTGTAATATATAACAGATGAGAGAAACTCAATGAGTGTAAAAGTTCAGCAATCAATGTCATAATATGAGTGAGCCAATGACTAAGGCAGTGGGAAGTCAAAGCACAGTGCAGATGTAACAAACACTGGGAAGGCAGGATAGTACGACTTAGTACTTCATTTGGATATGAGCAGTGAGGAAAGATGAAAACTGAACGATGACCTCAAGCTTGTGTCCTTGTGGGAATGACAGTTTAGGGATAGCTGCCATGCCTGGAGCAATTTTACCTGGTCAGGAACAGCAACAAACACAAAACACTCTCACATGAAAACCCAAAATCTCCTAGCAGTCTCAAAAGATTTTAAAAGGCTTTTATACTTTGCTAGTAGAAATGCTCTACAGATGCTCACTGTGAGTTTATTCATTTGGAATTAACACCTATTCTTATAATAAGTTCACATATCTAATACTGTAGGCATCAACAGATTAAAATTCTTCCTCAAAGTTGATGAAAGAGGAACCACTAAAAGGAAAGATATCCATATTTATCAGTTCCTTACACTATTGCCGTAATCTCTATAAAATATAGTAAAGAGATTAACGCTGATGACTCCTCCAGCAAGTGCTAAATAAGCCTCAGTTTACTCCATGTAAAGCAATTATGTGCATGTGAAATTTGATTTTGAAAAACTTTTATTACAGATGACTAAGATTAAAACAAAAAGCCGTTGACTTTCTGAATTTAAACTGTAACTAATCCTGGAAATTTGTTCATGTTAATTCTTATTTTTTGAGATTCAAGACTTGCTATGGGGTTACTTTGCAATTGATATTAAAAACAAAAAATCCGGGGGGTGGGTGACTTCTTTGGCAAAAAAGATAACAGGTCCGGTCGGTTTTCCAATGTTTATCAATAAAGATGACGTCAGAATAGAGGGAAATATCTGGTCAGTTGGTGAGAGGTAATGAAATTGTAATTCATACAGATAAAGGCATAAGAATATCCTGTAGGATTCTATAATAGATTGCTCTGAGTTTATGTCAGTCTCGTATTAACTTTACCTTCAGGATATTGACCAAGTAATGGTAAGTGGAGGACTGAAATTCCCAGGAAGAAAGAGAGAAGGAGATTTTGCAGTTATTCACATTAAGGAAAAAATATTAAAGTGATGAATTCTTGGGGGAAAAGAATGTGAATGAAGAATATGAAGGGTAAAGGAAGTAGAAAAGGGAAATGAAATGTTAAACTGTTTACTCTTTCAACGCTTAATACTAGGAACTTTATAATCTTTATTTTATTCGATTCTTGCAACCAGGCCTGGGATATATTATCATTCCATTTTTAAAGGCAAGAGATCTGAGGCTTAAAGAAGATAAACAACTTGCTCAAGCTCATAGTCCTTTGAAGACAAAAAGTCCATGGTAGCACATTACATAGACTCATATCCAGATATGTATACCTCTCACTCTGTAAACATGCGCTTAAGTTCTCTCTCTTTCTCTCTCTCTCTCTGTCTCTTTTGGTTCCATTTTTCCAAGTTCTCTTGACCTGTCTCTCCTGCTGTGAACAATTTTGTCAAAAGGAAGGGAGTTAGAGAAGCTAACATTACAACTTACTGGGCTATATTATTCTTATATGTGCTCTTTATAACTATTGCTTAATTTGAATGAGTCAAAGATTAAATTACTTAAACAAATAGGTTGAATCCTTAATGACTATAGATGTTTTTCAGTATGCTATTGAATCCTTAGCTTCTTTTTCCTAGAATACAATTCGTAAGCATAGTTGTGCTGTGTATTTCTGAATTACAAGAGAAATAATAAGTCCCCTCATTGCACAAGTTATCAATGAACTAAAATTAAAAGCCCTAAGAAAGGCTTTATCAATTAAGTGTTCTTACCCTGAGATTTGTCAAGATTGTACGTCACAATTATGCACCTTATACACTATATTCTTTCTATATATTCTGAGCCATACAAAGCAAAATATAATGTTTAATAGTCATCCATCTTTCCTTGTATCCATTTATTCATTTATAAATACATTTGACATCCATTCTCTTTATTCATAATCTGTCCAGTCAGAAACATAGACCAGGCTATTTGTATCATGTTGCTATCACATCCTGTAGAAGTGGATTTACTAAACTCTGCTGGGTTTAGCTGTGAGGCCATTGGCTTATGTTTAGAGGAACTATGTTGTGTAGAGTTGCATCAACAAAAAGGATCTGTTTGAGGATATGGGGGATCGCTTTAGACAGGGCCCTCATTATAAATATTCTCAGAAGAAATCTCTTGCTAATCACAGCTTGAGAAATATTTGTAATTTCTTGAGAATTTATCCAATTTATTTTTTTTCTCTTAACTGTTATGAATTGTGAAAATTAGATTTCTCTTTTTGCTTTGGCTTACAG